GGCCACATACATATCACCAAGTTTAAATCTTGGAACTAAAAATAAAATACCAAAAAAATACCAAAAACCTCTCTTTTCAGAAAAAAACTCGACATTTTGAAAATACACGTAGGCTCTTTATACCAACTTTTATAAAAATGTCATACTTCGTGACAATTTGTCAGTGACGATGCAGTAGGCTATTTCGATGATCTCTAAAAAAAAAAAAAAAAAAAATAGATGCTGCGTTGTTTGAAAAGCGCCACCTACTGTCCGACACTGTCCATAAGTTTTAACAGTGCCCCTATGGCCATACAATAAACTGCCATAGACCCAATGATAAATGGCCCCACTTCAGAAAGTCAGGAAAAATGCTCACAATTTTTAATACTCTCCGTTGAGGTGTTCGAGACACACATGAAAATTAAAGCTTATTTTATCAACTTTCTTTGTCTTTTCAATTGTTGAGTGAGGGTAATCTGATGACTTTTGGAGAAATTTCCTCCGAATGATTACCCCTTAAAATAGTCCTGAAGCCCATCGCCATTTTGAAAAACGATGCCTACACTCCTTTGCAAACTAGGGCGCTTTTAGGGCCTCAATTTCATCCAAATTGTACAGAAATACAAGCTCAAGTTCCAGTGCACGGCTTCCACTCATAGTTTGCAGGAACCCTCAAGTTCGTGGCCCACAATACGCTCAAATAATGAAGACTGAGGGCATGCAAATCCTGATTTGGCCGGCGTAGGCCGGCTTACAGGATTCATTATTGCCCGAAATATCGACTTCGATTCTGTTCGCCCATGGAGCCAAAACAGATGCACAGCAATGCTTCGGGTTTCTCCGCCTATTATTAAGACAAATTGTTTTTGAGGAGAATTCCAAGGAAGCCTGATGGCCGAGTGGTTAGATTCGTCGTCCACGAATCGCGGAGCCCGGTATCGAATCCCGTCGGTGTCTTTTTGCTTTTCAACGCACGCGTTCTATTCAGTCATTATAAATGTTTAATTTCCCGTCGTAAATTACCAACGGTACCTTAGCTTAATCGGTAAGCTCTGCGGCTGGTACTGTCCGTGAGTTCCAGGTTGGCGCCTTCGTATAGGTTCAGGGCATGTGGTCCACTCGGAGGATCAGGGCTTAGGGGCCGCCCTGTTCCTCCCTTAGCTCTTGCTTTTACATGGTGCCTGGCCCTCCGGGTTATATGGATGGACAGGGAAGGAAGTGTGTATTGGCCGGGACACCCGAGAGCCCAGAAGAGAACTAAGGGGCGGGCTGGGGCATTGTTATGGCTCAGACCGACCCCTGAAAGCTTGGCTAGCACATAACTTTTTGATTTTTTTTTATCTCTATTTTTTTCAACTTTGGTTAAGTTTGATATTTACAGCCGCTCGGCAGGTCTACGGTAGTATCCAAAACTAACCAAGGTCTGTGTCATAAATCAATAAATATTTAGCAACTGACTATTGTCCTAATCAAAACGAAGTTTCGTTCGATCACTATGACTATACCATTATTCATGGCTCTATTTCCAATTGACGTAAGAAACGCCATGCAATAACATACCGGGGAAAATAAAGATGTACATTGTAATATATATATTAGGGGCCATTCAGAATTTTCAATGTTTGAAAATTTCGACTATTTTTCCAAATTGTGGGTGGGTGGGTCAAGCTAAATAATTGAAAATCGAAATTCACTTTTCATGGAAAAAAAGATCCAAGTCTTTCCGAAAGGACACGCAACCCGCAGGCCCGCCAGTGGGATGTAATGATGTACATGCAAGTGCATGTACATGTACATGTAAATGTACCTGTTTTGTTTTTTAATACTGCGTAACAAATCAGTTTTTTTATAAATCGAAATTAGGGGTGGGTGGGTGGGTCAAAATAATTTGGAAATAAAGTCGAAATTTTAAAACATTGAAAATTCTGAATGGCCCCTTAGTAGTAGTATTTTTTTTTTTTTTTTTTTTTTTTTTTTTTGGGGGGGGGGGGCGCTATTTTTTGACGTTGGTGGCGCCACTTACACCCCTATTATACTACTCGAAAATAGCCACATACATATCACCAAGTTTAAATCTTGGAACTAAAAATAAAATACCAAAAAATACCAAAAACCTCTCTTTTCAGAAAAAACTCGACATTTTGAAAATACACGTAGGCTCTTTATACCAACTTTTATAAAAATGTCATACTTCGTGACAATTTGTCAGTGACGATGCAGTAGGCTATTTCGATGATCTCTAAAAAAAAAAAAAAAAAAATAGATGCTGCGTTGTTTGAAAAGCGCCACCTACTGTCCGACACTGTCCATAAGTTTTAACAGTGCCCCTATGGCCATACAATAAACTGCCATAGACCCCAATGATAAATGGCCCCACTTCAGAAAGTCAGGAAAAATGCTCACAATTTTTAATACTCTCCGTTGAGGTGTTCGAGACACACATGAAAATTAAAGCTTATTTTATCAACTTTCTTTGTCTTTTCAATTGTTGAGTGAGGGTAATCTGATGACTTTGGGAGAAATTTCCTCCGAATGATTACCCCTTAAAATAGTCCTGAAGCCCATCGCCATTTTGAAAAACGATGCCTACACTCCTTTGCAAACTAGGGCGCTTTTAGGGCCTCAATTTCATCCAAATTGTACAGAAATACAAGCTCAAGTTCCAGTGCACGGCTTCCACTCATAGTTTGCAGGAACCCTCAAGTTCGTGGCCCACAATACGCTCAAATAATGAAGACTGAGGGCATGCAAATCCTGATTTGGCCGGCGTAGGCCGGCTTACAGGATTCATTATTGCCCGAAATATCGACTTCGATTCTGTTCGCCCATGGAGCCAAAACAGATGCACACAGCAATGCTTCGGGTTTCTCCGCCTATTATTAAGACAAATTGTTTTTGAGGAGAATTCCAAGGAAGCCTGATGGCCGAGTGGTTAGATTCGTCGTCCACGAATCGCGGAGCCCGGTATCGAATCCCGTCGGTGTCTTTTTGCTTTTCAACGCACGCGTTCTATTCAGTCATTATAAGATGTTTAATTTCCCGTCGTAAATTACCAACGGTACCTTAGCTTAATCGGTAAGCTCTGCGGCTGGTACTGTCCGTGAGTTCCAGGTTGGCGCCTTCGTATAGGTTCAGGGCATGTGGTCCACTCGGAGGATCAGGGCTTAGGGGCCGCCCTGTTCCTCCCTTAGCTCTTGCTTTTACATGGTGCCTGGCCCTCCGGGGTTATATGGATGGACAGGGAAGGAAGTGTGTATTGGCCGGGACACCCGAGAGCCCAGAAGAGAACTAAGGGCGGGCTGGGGCATTGTTATGGCTCAGACCGACCCCTGAAAGCTTGGCTAGCACATAACTTTTTGATTTTTTTTTATCTCTATTTTTTTTCAACTTTGGTTAAGTTTGATATTTACAGCCGCTCGGCAGGTCTACGGTAGTATCCAAAACTAAACCAAGGTCTGTGTCATAAATCAATAAATATTTAGCAACTGACTATTGTCCTAATCAAAACGAAGTTTCGTTCGATCACTATGACTATACCATTATTCATGGCTCTATTTCCAATTGACGTAAGAAACGCCATGCAATAACATACCGGGGAAAATAAAGATGTACATTGTAATATATTATTAGGGGCCATTCAGAATTTTCAATGTTTGAAAATTTCGACTATTTTTCCAAATTGTGGGTGGGTGGGTCAAGCTAAATAATTGAAAATCGAAATTCACTTTTCATGGAAAAAAAGATCCAAGTCTTTCCGAAAGGACACGCAACCCGCACAGGCCCGCCAGTGGGATGTAATGATGTACATGCAAGTGCATGTACATGTACATGTAAATGTACCTGTTTTTTTTTTAATACTGCGTAACAAATCAGTTTTTTTATAAATCGAAATTAGGGGTGGGTGGGTGGGTCAAAATAATTTGGAAATAAAGTCGAAATTTTAAAACATTGAAAATTCTGAATGGCCCCTTAGTAGTAGTATTTTTTTTTTTTTTTTTTTTTTTTTTTTTTTGGGGGGGGGGGGGCGCTATTTTTTGACGTTGGTGGCGCCACTTACACCCCTATTATACTACTCGAAAATAGGCCACATACATATCACCAAGTTTAAATCTTGGAACTAAAAATAAAATACCAAAAAAATACCAAAAACCTCTCTTTTCAGAAAAAAACTCGACATTTTGAAAATACACGTAGGCTCTTTATACCAACTTTTATAAAAATGTCATACTTCGTGACAATTTGTCAGTGACGATGCAGTAGGCTATTTCGATGATCTCTAAAAAAAAAAAAAAAAAAAAATAGATGCTGCGTTGTTTGAAAAGCGCCACCTACTGTCCGACACTGTCCATAAGTTTTAACAGTGCCCCTATGGCCATACAATAAACTGCCATAGACCCCAATGATAAATGGCCCCACTTCAGAAAGTCAGGAAAAATGCTCACAATTTTTAATACTCTCCGTTGAGGTGTTCGAGACACACATGAAAATTAAAGCTTATTTTATCAACTTTCTTTGTCTTTTCAATTGTTGAGTGAGGGTAATCTGATGACTTTTGGGAGAAATTTCCTCCGAATGATTACCCCTTAAAATAGTCCTGAAGCCCATCGCCATTTTGAAAAACGATGCCTACACTCCTTTGCAAACTAGGGCGCTTTTAGGGCCTCAATTTCATCCAAATTGTACAGAAATACAAGCTCAAGTTCCAGTGCACGGCTTCCACTCATAGTTTGTAGGAACCCTCAAGTTCGTGGCCCACAATACGCTCAAATAATGAAGAATTTGAGGGCATGCAAATCCTGATTTGGCCGGCGTAGGCAATTAAGGACCGACTTACTGGCCTCCTCCTAAGTGGCATTTTGACACGGTTTCTCAGGCTTGCCTTTTTGCGGCCGCGCGGCGCAGTTCGTCTCTGATGATATAGCGCCCTCTTGGGAAGACTGAAGATTTATCTCAGACTTCAGAAATGGTTGGATTCTAGTTCTACTGCTACTGCTAGGTTCGCTTTCGAGAAATTTCGCTGTGACTTGTGAAGTTGTGTGTGTATTTGCGATAGCATTTCGTTTTCAATATCAATCGATTTCAGTCATTATGGCTAAAAGGACGAAAGGAGATCTGTCTGAGTTGGAGAAAGAATTGTTTGAGAGCATCCAATTTGGTGAGTCAAGATAGGCTTCTGATGTCATGGACCATGGAGGAAGGAATAGATGGATGATGGATGTCCATGGTCAGACTCGCATGACTATATGGTGATGAGCGTATATTGTTTGATAGTGGATATGTCGAGCGCAATTTGAGTCCCCCGCGCAAGTTTAAACTTGCGCGCATTAATTTCCTTGCGCACTGCATCGATTTCCCCGCTACGCATACAATTCAAAGCCGCTAAACTATTTTTTTCCCGGGTATACTCATGCAGATATGTATATGTTACATTATTTTTAAAGCAGATTTTTTCTCCGATTTAATAGCATCAATGACACTGAGCATGCTGAGCTTCGGGGGAGACAATGCCAATGCCTTTTTTTTGAACATGTTGAAACATCATTTTTATTAATATGCTAATGATGTTGACTGTATGGAAATTAGAGAGATAAAAAGGAGTGGTAATGCGAACAATTTATGCACTTCGCATCATGATGTGAATTATTGTTTATGGCTCATATGATTATGATTTTTGTTTAATAAACAACATATTTATTCATTAAGTTCTAATTAATTAATTAAATAAAAAAATTAATTAATTAATTAAATCATTTGCAAATGTATTTACTTTTTAAAATAATTAGGCCTACCATTTTATATGCATAGCGTTTTTAAGTTGTAAACATTAATATGAATTATTGAGCCTGCAATAAAATAAGTGTTAAAGTAATAAATTTAATTAATTAACTAAATTAGTAATGCGTTCATTAATTTTGTTTTCAAATTACATGTATGCAATTTTGAAGTGTACACAACGCTCGAAATGTTATGCAAGTATTTCTAAAAACAATATGAATTGTTGAACCGTCCAATTTATTAATTGCTAAATTAATGAGTATTTTTTTTAAGAATAAGTACTTTTTTAATTGTAGAATACATGTAGGCCTAATGTAATTTAAAGCATTTTAAAAAATAATGTAAATGATTACTATAACGTCCAAACTTGAACAATTGAAGGGATCATAATCATTCTTTTTACGTTAACAGTGGGTTACAACTAGGAAATTATGATTTATTTACATTCAAGAATATAAATAACATGCTAATTAGGTTTACAAAGCAAAAAACTTGAAGCTGGTCTCCATTATTGAACAACTTCAGTACACTTTCCAAGCAATCGCCGCTAGTGTGCTTAAGTTGATTGTTTGCCCGGTCCCCTCTCTGGCCCCGCCCCCACGTACCCTTAAACAACTTCTCTGATAAGCACTGCTAAATCTCAATGTTTCTTTTCATAGACGCTAATTGAATTCCCCTTTTTATTTATTTCTTTGTCCATTCATTTATTCCATTATTTCTCCATGTACTCGTGTTTTGCAAATAAAAATTCTTCATCGATGAAAGCCCCGCCCGCAAAAGAAGGTTGCGATTGCAAATTAAAATGGCGCAGTGTAATTCGCGTGCTTCGGGAGTCCCTCGCGCAAGTTTAAACTTGCGCGCGCAAGTTTAGACTTGCGTGGGGGACTCAAATTGCGCTCGACAGATATATTGCCGGTGGCAATCCCTTCCCTATCAACAAAGGGCGCTGTACTCTCTAAGATAGGGCTGAATTATAAGATATATTAAATTACTAACGGATGTGTAGAACCTGTGGCCTAGTGAATTAAGCAACGGATCTCATGAGCGGGAAGATCCGGGTTTGATCCCCGCTGACGAAATTTTTGAGGTTTTTTTCCCCATCCCATAAAAATAAGAATATTATTCTTTCATTATTTTAACATGTCTCAAACATTTTATTGCAAAGCATTACATTTTCTCTTTCAGATTTGTGGCTCTGGAGGAATTTTTTTTTAGACGAAGGGGAAAAGGCCTAGGCTTAAAGGCTGCAATTGTAAAATGGTCTGATTCCCATCTTGTGAATACAAAGTTACAGCGATAATGTTGGCATGGAGCCAAACTAAAATTTGTCACCGGAAAATGTTTAAGTACACAAAAACAGTAACTGCGCATGTTCAGTACATATCCGGCAAACTAACGTTTACTAAAGGTTTGCCATCTCCGGCTAAAATATCCACTGCCTTGTTCATATTGTTGCTTGGATTTGCTTGCAGTTGCAACCGGTATACACGCGCCAACTACTGGCGACTGTGCAATAATTTATTTGTGGGGGGGGGGGGGGGGTGTATTTCATGCTGTGAAAGAAATGTACTGGGAGTGTAAGCCTCATCGCGGAAAGATTTCCACATATACGAAGTTCACTCATTTTCCTCTGTATTGACTAACAAGCCCCCAGATAGCAATTTCATGTCATCAAAGTCAATTTGAGCAGTGAGGAAATACAAGCATTTTCTTAGAAAACACTTAGAATTTTTCAGTCCAATCTCATAGGGTTTGTACACAGGGTGTTGAGTGAACTTCGTATATGGAAATCTTTCCCACTGTGTGTGACTGTGAACATGCACGTGCATGTGCGCTGTCATAGCTGTTGCTGCCGTGTGAACCTATAAGCTGTTTCGTGGATACCGCTATCTTGCTTAAAATTGTGATTGTGCAATAGCTCGGGGGGGGGGGGGGGGGGGGGGGGGAGTCACACATGACCCTCACTGAAAATCCGTCACGTAAAAGGAATGGGGAGGTCTAGCCCTACAAATTTGGCCAATTTACTGGACTACCTCCGTAAATATTAAGGCCACACTTCCACCATGTACATAAACATGTCGAGCTTTGTCAAATTTTGATTTTCACATTTAGGCTTAGTTTGTAGTTTGCGAGCATACTCGCTACTAGGCTAATCAGAAAGTGCTGCCTTTTTCAGATGTCTATTTTTGTGAAATTTCCAGATTCGTTTCCACGCGTTTGCGTACATCAAACTTTCAACATGAAATTTCATGCGGTAAAAATTGAATTTCCATTAATTTGATTGTGCACGCACTGAAAAATTGGAATAGGCCTAACCATTTGTTAAATTGACCATGCCGATTTTGGGCGAATAAAAAGGAGCACAACATTAAATGTGTTTATTCGCCATGTTTCCTTGTCAGATAATATTGAGCTGATTCGACAGTTGTTGAGCTCCCCTGATGTAGCAGTCAACTGCCTTGATGATGTAAGTATGTGTAGAAACGTTAGAGTATAAACGTTCCATCCAGATTTTCAATGTATACAGCCTGTCTAAAAAAAAAATGGTACAATCGAAAACGATTTTTTTATCAATGTTAAATCTCAGCATAAGTAAGTCGTTTTGAGCATCACATTAAAGAAAAAAGACCAGGCTTTCCAATACTTTTTGTTTCATCTCATTTGCTTTTGTCAATCCAGAGATAACTCCAGTTTACTGCGGAACACAAAAATCGAGTTTGTTTCTTTTGCCAAGTTGCAATCTTTTGTGAGCTTCAAGACAGCATGGCACAGTACTCGAAACAACTCTGCCCATGCATAAAAGTGGCACAAAATCGATTTTGGTGTATCGCACTAAATTGATTATATCTCTGAATTGACAAAAGCAAATAAGATCAAACAAACACTATTGGAAAGCCCAGTCTTTGTTTTTTAATATTATGCCTAGTAAGAATGACTTATTCTGAAATTTCATATTTAACCAATTCTTTTTCTGATTGTACCATTTTTTTTAGACAGGCTGTAGAAACGTTAGAGTATATACGTTCCATCCAGATTTTCAATGTATATATGTTGGATCCATTGGTAAATAATATCTATCAGTGCGTCAGTGTAATCTTCCTGTTCTCATTCCATTATTTCTGTTCATTCGTCATTTTTTCCCCCTAACACAGCATGGCATGACCCCAATCCAACATGCAGCCTTCAAAGCCAAGATCCCCATCTGTGAGTTGCTGCTTGCCAATGGTGCCGACGTCAACATTAATGAACATGAGAACAGCTACACAACGCTTATGTTTGCTGCCCTCTCCGGTGAGTCAGTCGCGCACTGGCAAGTCTATGCCCTGAAGTTATAAAAACATCAAGCAGCATACACAATAAGTCGGAGTGCTACTGAGCAAATTGCCTGGTTTGAATGAGTGTCGTGGAGTACAGATCAATAAACTTACAGCTTGACTTGAACTGCATCTTATTTTGTTCTGCATGAGAAAAACTCTTCATATCTCACAACTTTTGAAATGTTCCCGTTAATAAGAAAGTTACAGTATTTAAATTTGGTATAACTTGTAGCCAGTCATAAAATGGACTTGCATCCCATTCGGGAGAAATTGAAATATGCTGGCTCATTTCATGTTATTAGCGAACTTGCAATACATGTATAAAACAGTGACCTGCACCCGATTTCATGAAACTCTTCGCAACGAATGATTCATCGCAGCGCTGAGACACGTCATATCCCAATGATGCGTCGCAGCTGCGACGCATCCTGCGATTCATTTCACAAAACACGGCGATTCATTTCACAAAACATGACCCGTTGTTCATGTATTTATAGCACAACACGGTGACTGTTATATGTATTTATTCAACGTACAGTAAATAGTCATCTGATATTCAGCAAAGAGTCATCCTATCTCCTCTCGAAAAGGTTTAAAACATATAACAAAATGGTGGACATGTGATACAGTTTTAATGGAAAACAAGCTCAGGGTGGACTGTTAGCTACTTTGAAATTTCAACTGAAATATTCCAGGCTAATTCAGGTTTACTTCGATGCATTTTCAATTTAAAACTGCACACACATTGTCTCGGTACTACTGTATAGTCTCATTTTCATTTAATTTTGATGGCATATATCCGGCTTAGAAAAGGACGTTTCTTATTTTCCGATTACCACAAGACACGTCGTAACTTGTGACGTGTTTTCAGCAATTGTGAAGGGACTTCCGACGCGTTAAACTCATTGTTAGTTCTTTCACTAAGCAAGTTTTGGACAAGCCCTGTAGAATGCAAGCCACCTAGGAGATACAACCTTGTTGCACGGACACGACGGTGCATGATATACATGTATCGTTGCATCAGTGTCTAAGTCGTATCTTGCGCGAATACGCTCCGTGAAACAAGGTCGTATCTCGCGTATCGCGACGTCCATTGACTCTGTGTGTACATCCTGATTATTTTAAGCGAGATACGACCTCTTGACGTTGAAAACTAGCGTTTCACGTACACGACGTCACACGCCATTTTAGGAGATACGACCTTGATGCACGGACACGACGACATGGTGTATTGTATATCATTTGTATAATGCTCACCTTGTTGCAACCGGCTTAAAATAAAATCTGGGTTGATTATTGCAGGTAACACTGAGGTGACTCGCCTGATACTAGAAGCCGGCGCCAAGACGACACCTGTCAATTCAGTGGGTCGGACTGCTGCACAGATGGCTGGCTTTGTGGGTCAACACGCCTGCGTCAGCATCATCAATAACTTCTTCTCTCGAGAGGATGTTGATTACTACACCAAAAAGCAAGGTAACGGTCCTGGACCTCATATGCAAATTTCGCTATTGTCATTGATGGATATTAGTTACTTTTTTTCAATTTACAATTTCCTTTTTGTGTTCTCCTACAAATTTGTTATTGTGATATGAAAAGATACTTCATTCTCACACTGCATTTGGATCTTTTGACTCCTATGGTCTCACTGTAGAATAAGGTCAGCTATTATTAACTCAAAACAGGTCCTTCTACAGTGGAGCGTTGCTATACCGAACACCGCTATAACGAACATGCGGCTATACCGAACATCGTCCTTGGCTCCCAATTTTTGTGTACAAAAGTACCGAACATTGTTGTTGAAAAATGTCAAGAGAAGAGCGACAAGTGGCCATTATTTCCCCAAGGTATAGAAGGGGAAAGCCCTTCATTGCTGTAGGTACCCCGGGTAGTAAGCTAAAAAAAACTGTGTAATTACATAATTCAATAGTCGGTGCATGTTCGAAGTCATCTTTCAGTAACTACCAGGGCGTGCAGGGTGAAGTTCTGAAGGGCACTATTTATTGAAAAGTGAGTACCAGAGCACCGGCAGCTTAAAATCGCTGTACCGAACAACCGCTATTGCAAACAATTTCTGTGGATCTCTGATATAGTGGCGTTCCACTGTATAAGCAGCCTCAACTCCATGGACGTGGTGCGTTCCTTCACTAACCCTTAACCCTAACCCCCTAGGCCCTTGTTGCTTACAACCATCCTCAATCCTCCAAAATCCTCCAAAATTTTGCAACTCCGCCTAAATTTTTCAAAATTGTCAGACAGTCCTGCCTCAAAATGCATTCATCCTCAATCCTCCAAAATCCTCCTCATCCCAAAATTTTGCACTCGTGTTTAAATGAAGGATAACCAACGCCAAATCCTTCAAAATAATCAGACAGTCCTGCCTCAAAATGCATTCATCCTCAATCCTCCAAAATCCTCTTGTGCTTCAATCACCATTCATCCTCAATCCTCCAAAATCCTCATGTGCTTCAATCACCATTCATCCTCAATCCTCCAGAATCCTCATTTGATTCAATCACCATTCATCCTCAATCCTCTAGAATCCTCCAAAACCGCCAGGAGGATTTTGGAGGAGGTGGGTTAGGGTTAACCCCTGGTCATGAGGCTGATTGACTATTCAGAGCGTACTGCGCGAATATTTCGAAGGCTGCACGCTCTATATAATATGCACTCGTGTTATCTCCTGCACGTCACATCACGTGGGTGTACGAACATTTTGTCAAGACTGTGCAATGAATGTACGATATGGATTCTGGAAGCCTCGTTTTTCTTTCTTCAAAAACACACCACTGTATCTTGTGTTGTAAAAGAGATGACAGGTACACACCTTTAATATAACTCCTTGCTTTGTAACGCGACGTCGAAATCTCGTGTTGGAATGTCTTTATTCTTGGCTATGAAGCAATCCACCCTTTATCTAAGCACAATTTCTCTGCACCTTGTGCACAGGTTTTGAAAAGGAGCCCAAGTTGAAACCAGAGCTGGCTCCAGCTGTTCACAAACTCATCCTGCAGACAAACCTCAATCCCGTCAAGGTGAGAAACAGCTGCCATAATAAGTTCCTGCAGGCTGTGTTGTCATAGCTTTTTGAGAAAAAAAATGTGTGGCAAGTATCGATACATGTTTAGAGTGTATAGTTCATTAGCTTTTTGAGGGTTCAGTTTTTGGGGGGGACACCCTGTATGTTCTATTCCTACACCTTATAACAATGACACTCGAGGAAGAATTTGTGTAGGCCATCAGCAAGATGAAACGCCCTGATTTTTCTCCTGTGAGTTTGCCTAACCAACACCCCCCCCCCCCATGATTCCTCTGCATGGGACATACTGGCACCATGTCAGGAACATCAAACGCAACATTATTTCCACCACAATCACATCAGATGCTGATATCAACCCTCTCTCTTTCTCTCCGCAGATACTTCTCTTCATCAAGGATCACGAGGAGCTCATCAACGAATCTGTTGCCGTGGCCCGTGTCTTGGACTGCATCTGCGAGAAGCAGATGAAGACATCCGACACCAACGAAGTCTTGGCCATGAAGACGCACTATCTGGCTTTCCTGCTCAGGATGTGCCACAAGTACGACGTGGATAACTTGGATGGCGCGGATGGACTTATCAAATTGTACGCTGCAAACAGATGTTCCTGTTTTTGAACAGATATTCTTGTTGGGGCAATTATTCCAGCCTTATGGAAAAAAAATGCAGTGTCCATGATAGAGCTTTAAGAGCTCTGCCTGTTAAACCTTAAAGAGATTGTGGAATGCTCGAAGACATTTCCATCATTTTTCGGGTATATGTAGCCTAAGGTGTGATGAAATAAAAACGACTATTGTTTCTGTCATAAAATGAGTACAAAAGGTACTTTTGAGAGCTGTTTTTCAAGTCCTGTCATGCCTGTTTCGACCCGAACGTGCAATTTGTGTAAAAGTCGTCGTTGCGGGCAGCAAACAAAACACAGTAAATCGTGACGTAATAAACAGGACTCCCGATGCAGAGTAGCATAGACGAGTCCTGTTTATTACGTCACGATTTACTGTGTTTTGTTTGCTGCCCGCAATGACGACTTTTACACAAATTGCACGTTCGGGTCGAAACAGGACCTGAAAAATAGCTCTCAAAAGTACCCTTTGTACTCATTTTATGACAGAAACAATAGTCGTTTTTATTTCATCACACCTTAGGCTACATATACCCAAAAAATGACGGAAATGTCTTCGAGCATTCCACTACCTCTTTAAAATGTATTTTTCACATCTTATTCATTCATCATGTAGTAAGAGTCAAGGAGATTACAGACTAGGAGTATTGGATCATTTCTCTGAGTCATTAATTAGATATCATGGTTAATGGGCTCTGTTACAGACAATTCATTTTCTTCCATAAGGCTGGAATAGCACTCCGCACTAATGACGTCAATTTTGCTCCGTGACGTACGCGCGCATACCCCGGATATCAGACAAACTTTTGAACAATCACGTGCGCGCATGCATGCATATCTGGCCGCATACATATGCATAGAAACGGTGTTGCAAGCGTTTGCGTAATTTTCACACGAGAAGTTCGTACAGCATGCTTGTCTGAGATCCGGGTATTTGCTTCTATTTTTAACATTAGTGCAGAGTGCTATTGCCCATTTTTCTGTAACCTTTTTGCACTAGTTAATGATGGTGTATGATTTTCAGTCAAATCTAGACTTGCACATATCAAATTTTAAAAGGACACCCACAAAAAAAACCTTCCAAATATTCAGTAATCTGTTGGTTTGAACACATTTAAACTCTGTCAAATTTCCTTGGGAACGTTTCGTGATGATGCCAGTCGGCTTCGCATTTGCACCTGACAATGCTTGAAAGTCGGTTTTTCATTCCTTGACAGTTTCTTGAAGGGTCGGGAACCAGATGGTGAGAAGCTAGGCATGGAGACGAAGATACGCGGAGCGATCCGAGACTTTCCTTACCACGAGTCGGAACTCTTGCAGACGATGGTCCGGAACATTGCCAATGTCAAACCGGTAAGAAATGAAACAAATGCAGCTGAAAGAATTATTCATGATGGGTCAATTTGTGTGTTGTCACCAAAATAATGATAGAAAAATTAAAGGCTTCAAATTAAAATACCCTGGCCAATTCAGAAATTGTCAGAAGTAAAGAATGTAAAGGGAATGTACAACATTTGCCTTTGCTGCAATTTTCAAAAATAAATGGATTTGGAGGATTAGTATGTTATAACAAATATTGTTAAACTGACTTGCTTCAGGTTTTTGGTTCGCAGATGCTGGAAAAAAAAAATGGGGGAAAAACCAAGAAAACCAATCATGTTCTTGTAGTCTGGTTCCCTGACCCAGAAATTTATGGACTTTGTGAAATTGTAAGGTATAGAGAATCAGTCTAGCAGACTTGTACCCCTTCACAGGTGTGTAATCAATTGCAAAGAAAATGCAGGATAACTAAATATGAAAAAGTAGGAGCGGTTTTTGAAAAAAAAGCCAGTTTTCTCCAACGCTGGTCAGCTGACCAGCGTTGGGAAAAATACACTTTTTCTTGAAAATGTCAGCTCACAAGGAGCTGCAATTTTACAGGATACTTTAGACTGTCATTCCCTAACAATCCAGTAAGGTATTCCCTGATAATTTGATCATATACATTTTTGATGTTTGCAAATGTTGTATCTTCCCTTTAAACTGTTAAAGAAAATAATAAACAAGTTCCAGTACATGTATGTGAAGTGTCATGCACATTAAAGATCTTATCAGTGGTCATGCAATGCTATCTGCTATTTTTTGCACTGTTTTCTTAGCTAGCCTTACACCAAATGAATTGTGAAAATCATGAAAACGTGAAAATTTCTCAACTTTATTTTTGTTTGACTTCCAGGGAGATGATCCTTCAGCATTGACCATCCTGTCGCAGGGTATCAATGGGTCGCGCAGCGTAGAAACCGAAGAAATCTGCTCAACGTGTGGTGAAGCTAAGGCGGCCAAGAAATGTTCGGCTTGCAAAATGGTAAGTGATGAATGACGAAAATAAAGGCTGCTTTGCACACTGGAAAAAAAGCCACTATTCGATTTCAAGTGAATCCATAACTGAACTTTTTAGCTAAAAAGAACATAACAATTGAAGTAATAATCTATTTTTTTTAAAAGAGTTTAACCCCCAAAAGTACAGTTTGAACACAAAAGTAAATAAATTGTAAATGTCAGATTTCAGACACTTTGATCCTAACATAATCTTTCTCTAAGACTAAGATTTTGCCAAAAAATTATGTGTTTAAGGTTAATCTAGTCCGTTCATTTCATTTCTATTCTTGTAAAGGTAGAATTTATCAATAGAAAAAGTAGAGTTTATCAACCAGAGATGATCCTGGCATTGTTTTAAATACACAGGTCAACTATTGCAACCAGTCCTGCCAGAAGCTTCATTGGTTCACGCACAAGAAGGTTTGTAAGAAGCTAGCAGAGGATTTCATGAGGATACAGAAACTGAACGAGGAACTGGAAGAGAAAGAGAGCAGAAAACAGGCCGAAGAGGAAGAAAGAAAGGGTGAGTACTTAAAGGATAACTCAAGGAAGTTCTCAAGAAAGTTGGGCCAAGAACTCAAGTCACTCTGGGCAAGTTTCAAGTCTCTCTGGTCCAGCCTCAAAATAAGTTTATTTTGGGGTTTTTTTGCAGAGGCTGAAATTCTGGCTTCAGAGCAAGCAGCTTCTGAATTAGCAGCCAAGGAATCCACCGAGTCCGCCACGAAAGACTCATCGGAAGATGTGAATTCTGTCTCCATCAGCGAAGTCACCTTGGAGGACAAATCATCAACTGAGGATGCGAAGGAAGAGAGAGGGGAATCGTAGCAGGGGACGGTATCTGAGTTGAGTGAGTGGCCATGATGGCGATATGAACACTGACGCACCAAGCCTGCTCACATGGGAATGAAATATCCCACCTCTTCTGAGAATGTTATCTTGGGGCAAAACATTGTTGTTGTAGATATACGATAACCCCCCGCTACGAATGACCACCCACGAATCACCAGCAACAACGTAATAGGAATCTTGTAATATCCCCCCCCCCCCCCCTAAAAAGGGGAAACTAGTGCGCATGCACTACCTCTGCAGGCAATTACGATCCATTTTCAGTCCCACGCGCACTACACAAAAAAGGTGTCATGAAGTTGCACATAAGTCTGGCTGCATCTTGCATGCTACTGGAAGAAATTTAAGAGTTTGGTTCGGTTGTAACATGAGAAGTTTTGAATGCGCGCTGCATGTAAAAGGCAAAACAGGTGCTCGCACATTGCTACAAGATTGCCAAGACGTTGTTAATGGCGCGGCGGTTTGTGGATGATAGCGATTATTGCGGCCGTGGATTATCGCATATCTGCAACATCGTCTTGACCGAAGACTGCTACAGATTGTATCCCCAGTCAGTCTCCTGGCAAGCAATATGAGGCAATTGATACAGCGATATTTGATCTCAAACAAACCTTGATAAAAAAAACCTGCTTGCTTGGAATGGCACACTGCCATGCGAATGCTGTTATTCCTATACTTGACAGTTATCTATAGGGCCAAGTCAAATTAGAGGCAACCAAATAGACTACAAGCTAAAGGAATCCTTGTCAATCAAATTACGTTGGGTTTTGTTCAACAGTTTTCGACTAAAGTGTGCTCATAGATAGAGGTTTTTAATTCTTGACCAAATGTTGAATATGGTGCACCTAATAGCAATTCCTCCAGCATTTTGCATTTCCGGAGCTAAATATTCATTATATTTATTTCCCCGTCCGTCCCCTTTTTTTGGGGGGGGGGAGGGGAAATAATGATTTTTCAACAGTTCAAGTAACTAGCATGCATTTTTCTTTAACTTGGCTCATATCATTGTTTGAAATTCCTTTAATATCCATGGAAAAAAAGCCACCCCCCCAAAAAAAACCCAACTCATCAGACACTGCAGCTGTAGGCTCTCTCCTAAAAAAAACAGTTTTGTTTCATATGAAACCCAGACAAAGTGCTATATTAATATCAATGCTAGACAAAAAAACATATTGAAATATTAGGCCAGTAATGATGGTCTCAGATTTGTCACAAATTTGCACATGCAATTCTTGTTTACATAATCTTTATTACAGATGTTGTTAATGTTAAAACTAGTGTTCCAGCCACCATCACTTGCCAGTAGTTATTTGGTGGGTAAAAAAAAGTCAAATTTTAAACAAACTTCAGGATGGACTCTTTTACTGTGCCAAAGCGAAAACTGATGGATTTCAAAGAGAAAATAGTAAGACAATAAGAGTAAGCGTTTAAAGGGAATATACATCATTTGCTTTTGCTGTAATTTTCAGAAATGGATGGAATTGGGGGGTTGGAAATATATAGCAAATATAGTTACACTGACTTTTTTGAGGTTTTGGGTTCGAAAATGCTATAAAAACCAAGAAAAACAATCATTTTTCTGTAGTCTGGTTCCCTGACTCCATATAAGAAGAAACAGAGCAGTTTACATACATAGGGGAATTGTAAGGTCAGGGAACCAGTCTAGCTGGCTCGTACCCGTTCATAGGTTTGTAATCGATTGCAAACAAGTGCGATGGTCAATTGGGGCCAGTATTTGAAAAAAAAGTCAGTTTTTTCCAACGCTGATCGGCCGATCAGCATTGGAAATTGATACAAAAATACCACTTTTCTTGAAAATGAAAGTATACCAGGTGCCATGATTTTACAGGATGCTTTACACTGTCGTTCACTAACAGTTCAGCAAGGTATTTCAAAATGATTTGGTAGTTTTATTTTTTGATGTTTGCAAATGTTGTATTTTCCCTTTAAATTGGAATAATCATAGTTTACTGAGTCAAGTGTTAGACCAAGTTTCTGTGAGAACTGAAGTTTAGTTTTTGCTAAAATATTGGGGTTTTTTGGCACAGATTTGCATTCGTATCTCACGGCCATTATAACTTTTCTTGCAAAAATACCTGCGGGTTTTCACGGGAAATGTATTCTCTGTTTAAGTAGTCATTCCTAAATTGATATCAAGTAGGCAAACCCAAAAGTTAACTTGCCCTAGTTTTTGTTTAAATAGCCAGTGTCTTCACCATTGTGAGGCAGTGTTGAGTATTTCTTGTAGTTTCTCACAAGGTTTTGAGGAATGTACCGATGTTGTTATTAATGGTCCTTTATTTCATAAATGTTACAACTCATAACAGCGAGTATTTTTGACTTAAATTCACCAGAGTATTGTATTCAAAGCGCAGTTTGTTTTGTGAGCAATGTTGAAAATCTGTCCATTTTGTAATCACTCAAAATTTGTCCATCTTTTGCCACGTGATGAAACCTGTATCCTATTTATGTAAATGTTGTGCTATTTGAAACCCTGAAGCTTCCTGTAAGATTTTTTTGAAGTTGAATATTCATTGGTTTTATATACAAGAGGTGAAAGGATCTACAAAGGTTCCTGGCAAAGCAGTAGAGAGATCCAGTTAATGCCTCATTAGCTTTCCAGCAGTCGATTTCACGAAACATTACGCAGTGGCAGAAGTCCACTTGCACCACAATTTATTGCGCAACTTTTCTCACTGGGCAACATTTCAGTGATGACATTACGATGAAAGTTTCATAGTTTCATAGTACATGAGTCTGCAATTTGCGCAACAAATTATGGCGTAACTTGGGCAATCATTTTAGGTGGCGTAAGTTGTGGCATAGCGACTGAAAATGACCAACATGTACATGTATTTTTCCAGCAAATCGTGATCGCCGTGCAGCCTGTTATTGCACAACGTATCAAGGTTGATACAAGACACTCACAGCTTTGTGTTTGAAGTAAAAGAATTGCTGTTTTACTTGTGACAGTGTTTTAGGGTTGCCGCAAAAACATGTTCAAAATGGCAGGGCGGAAGTGATTCAACAACTGTTTCATGAACAAACAAAATCATACGCAAATAGCCGTCATAAATGCTGTTATTATCCCCATCCAAGATGTTTAGATCATTTAAAATGTTGCGCAGCTACGCCAAGTTTCGTGAAATTGATCGTAAATTTATTGTGCAGCTGCACAATAAATTTGTTGCACAAGTCCTATCCATGGCGTAAGTTACACAGTGTTTCGTGAAATCGGCTGTAGTAGCTATTTTTGTCTTTGTCATTCGATTGTGTTTGGTTTTCCATTGTGCCTACTGGAAATCCAAAGACATACAAGCTCAAGGTTATGAGCTCAATGACTTACGTATCGAGTACGTTTGTCACCGCATGGTGACTTATGAGCTTTATTTCTAGCTTCTGTTTTTGTGTTGTAATAAAAGCGTTCCGCACAGCTACTTAGCTTTCAACTGATGGAAAATGTCTCCATTGTGTTCTTAGGACCACGCTTAGTACATTCTGAAAGAAAACCGTTTTAGAAGGGTATCTTCTTGCTATTAGCTAACATTTTTGGTTGAAGTTATCCACCAAATTTTTCAGTTGGATTCATTATTCTTTTTTAACCGAGTTGATCTCTCGTGTCAGATAAAAAAAATTAAAACTACCAAACAAAGTGACACCACCACAGAATAATCTCATTGATACATTAATATTTATTTCAACAAATTATCAAGTATATTCATTCGGAAGAAAAATTCTTTTATGATTGATCATTCATGGATAGCACATCAACCAAATATCAAACTTATTTATATACACATGTATAAAAGCCTATACATAAGCAGAAAAAAATGAAAGGTACTATAAAAAAAGATAACGTGAAGCATTTGGTAATGGACAAAATATTCTTATCTAGACCTACTTGTGAGTGAAAGACAAAATCTGATGGTAAATCAGAGAAACCATGCAAAGGAAAAAGTAAATGTTACAAAGAAACATTTAAAGTCTTGTATAAACCCAGTCTCTGTACCGCCCCAAAACACCCTGCCTGTTACTCCTTGAAGCGCGTGAAATTGCCCAAACATTCTATGGTTTTATGGATTCCTCCAGAAATAAGTACAATGTTATACAATGTTGAACAATGTTGTACAGGTGCTAAGAAGTTAACTACTGTGTCGAATAGAACAGATGTCTGTATATACTTGGTGCATACCCTTGCTATATACCAATATGTACAGAAAAAAACCTTGTATCATTATAAATGTTGATATACGTGTAACATCCTAAGCAAGTATACATGTATGAGGTGGTTGAACCTAACCCCTCCCCCCCCAAAAAAAAAAATGAGAATAGGCCTTTATTGAAAATAGATAAACCTTACAAAAGGCAGTATGGCATGCCACCTTGATATAATTGTTAATACTGACAACAACCCCCAAAACACCGACAAAAACCAAAAATACAATATGGCACCAAAAAACAAAAAAACAAAATACTTAAATAAAACTTTGTGAAAAACTTTGCAAGTGTAGTTGTTACAACAAATTAAACGTTTTTTTTGGCAAGACGGAAAACAAATTCGACAAGACAAATGTTATTTCATTGAAATAAGCCTCTAACATATTGCCCCCACACAAAAAAAAGATAGCTGCATCACAAAATAAAAACAAATATGAAAATGTTATTAATACAAGCACCAACTGTACACGGCTGTTGTCACAATAAGTTACAAGTTAATGAAACATTTCACATTTTCTAGAGTGATAATGTTTCCCCAAACCCTGTGGTTAACATAGTTTTACAAAAGATTCATTCAACATTACATTCGTTCGTCATCATATATAAACTTCCTGAGACCATTGCCATTAAAAATACAAAAATTGAACATTCGTTTTGAAATAGGTGAAACAATTGTAGTTTTCTCAGTTCATTAAGCATTGCAGTGCTTCACTAACATACAATCCTTTTGCAATGGTAATGTAATTTACTTTCAAAGAATCGTATTCTACATGATATCCGAAAGGCTTCAAAAATTGGGGAAAATATAGAGATCATGCATATATTCAAATGGTTTGTTAATGGATGGAATGTCTGTACAATTCAGGTGAGATTTTCTCTGACAATATTTTGCAATAAATATTTCATATTAAAATATAAAATTGAAGTGACGTATAAATAATTTTGCATTAAAAAGCTAAATCTCGAAAATTCAAACAGACAAAACACAAAACACAGTCCTTGCACAGATTTCACGCAAAGCTTCATGTGAAAAGTACAAAAACACAAAAGTACGTGGAATGTCACATTTACTTATAAATATACACCAGATATAATGTAAATTTGTTCATATGGCAGACATCATTCAAATTTTTGTAAATTACTGGACGGATGAATAGAAAACATGATTGGGTTTTTCCCCAAAGAAGAGAACTGAATATAGTAATACCCTTATTAATCAAGTGGATCAGATAATGTTTGAGAGGTTTAACTAGATGGAAGCCCACGGAGCCCGGACAGAATACCCATCCTGCAGATAACAAAAAATGGAGGGAAAAAAAGTTAATTAATCAACTGTAAACGATCTTTTTATGAGTATTCATTGATAGCGACAAGGAAAATCAGAAAACCGACATTTTAAGAAACTTTTCTCACTGCTACAGAATAGGAATATTTATGTTTCAAACATGATGATCATAAGACCGCAAAATTGTGCAAAAAACCTGGAATCCAGAGTTGATACTCCATTTTAGTTATGATTTTTATGGACCTGGTTATTTGTGGGTGGGTCTTGGTAAAATGAGATGGAACTTGGCACAGGTCGTAGTGGAGAAAAATGAAAAAAAAAAACAATGGGGTGATTTTTGCGGCGATTTCCAGATTGATTAATATTTGTAATCTTTGTCTATTACACTATTTTGAAGAAATAGTTTAAAAACCATAGAATAAAAGTGGTTTTAAGGAAAAGTAATTGGCAACTTACATTTTCATGAATACAAAACGTGAAACATTAGAAGGCCTTTTTCTAAGTGTTTTACTCTTTTGAAACATCGATAAATGCGAACTTTAAACAGCATGGCTTGTCAACGTAATGTCCGATTGAAGCGCAACACACAGTCTTGCAAGCAGAATTTGATTTTCTTTCCTAATACCCGCAAACCCTCATTTCGACCTCTGCCCGGTCTGTCTCATTTTACCAGAACGCCTAACATATGTGCAGAGGGATAATTGGGATTTGTCAACATTGTAAAAATCTTTACAATGATAAAAACAACAGGAGTTGAGATTAATACACTTTGAATGCATTATGTGTATTTTAAGAGATAAGTACAAAATGACGGAAAGTATGTTGAAAACATGAGAAAGCTACAGCAAGGAAGTTAATTTCTTTTCAAACTGTTAATGTCAATGATGAGTCTGCAACTTTTGTGTGTGTACTTGGGCAGAGTCCACTCCATAGTGACTAGAGGGTTAAATCCTACAGGGAACAGACTACAATATGATTTGGAATGTATATTGTTAATGCAGTCACGTCCTCTACACAAGGATAAACGGTTCCCCACATTTCTGGTTAGATACGTGATAATGGCACTTGTGCGTTGGCGTGCGTTGGCGTGCGTGTGCCCAAGACTCGGCACGCGACTGCAGTCTTTCAGTGGTCAAATTTCTGTCAGGACGCCAGCTGTTGGCGATCATGGCGCGCACTGTTCTATATGTGCTATTCTATGCACGGACGCAGCATATCATGCTGTAGACAATCCGTTAAGTACATTTTGTGCACAAGCTCAGATGATTCATTTATCCTTGTGTAGAGGATCCGTGATGCAGTTAAGTGCAAACCCTGTCACCGCAATACGTGCATTTGTAAATTCACTGTCTTATTTCCTACATGGCAGGGGGTTGGGTAAAACCAGTGCTGTAGCCGAGTCCATCACAAGTCTGATCACAAGTAAATCAGAAGTCCTTTCACAAGTCCAGTCACAAGTAACAGAGGATGTGCAATGACAATGGAGTGATTCTTGTTCATTTCAAAACTTTGTGACTATACTTTGAGACTGGATTTTGTGATGGGCTTGTGCTGGTCTTGACTACTGCATGGGATTAATTGGTAGTAGGGGGTGTCCCTACCCGGGCCAGTTTCTGTCGAGACTCTGGCTTGAATCGATTCTCCAGAGCCGTGGTGCGAGCCCAAGGTTTCTGGACAAGCTTTGTAGCGTGTGGCTGGTTCCATGGCGGTTGCAGGGAAAGATCGTCCTGTTAATGAGTAGCATGTTAAGGAGAGAGAGAGAAGCAAGAGGCGAAGAATGCAGAAGAGAAATGAAATGCATGAAATTAGGAGTGCTGAGAAATATAGCCGTACCTTCACCAAAAGTATCATGATAAGGGACAGTGTTGCTGTAATAATGTGGCAATGATTCAGAATATCAGGTGCCATGATGCCATAACCAAGACTGTAGTGACAAGTGAAGCATATGTATTCAGTTTAATATATTGGTAATAATGAGTATTTAAAATGGCACCTGAAAAAGCGAAGCTAGATAATTGTTATTGATACTCAAACTGACAGCCAAGAAGAATGAAATTTTTAGACAGAATTAGGGACTAGGCAAATATTTAGCTAGCAAAAAAAAATGCATACGCAAGGTTAAAGTTGTGCTACTTGTGTTCGTCGACATTTTTCTCCTGACACATTTTCAATTTGTATGTTTTATTTAAACAAATCAAACTGCTGTTTTTCCAACTTGAACGTTTTCATCCCTGTGAAAAGGTGCTGATCTATTAGGGGTTGTAGCGCACAAACAATACACCTGAATTCTTGTTGGGCAGCAAATCGAAATTTACTAGTGACTGTTGCGGTAACACGTACCATGTGGAACAATCGCTTTTGAGCAGAAGTGTGGTTCTGAAAAGAGCCGGTTGGTTTTCAGAACCACACTTCTTCTTAAAAAGAGATTATTCCACATGGTGTTACTGCAAGCCTCACTACATATAAAGTATACACTACCACCGTGCAAAGTTTCAAATCTTCCTTAAATTCGAAATTTGTAAAGTAATACTCCATAACTGCGGGCGATTTTTTGTTAGATGATCTCCACCAAAAGTGAAAAACTTGTGTATTGCCAGAAAAATTTGAAGTTTAAAAAAACCATATCTTTTTTTCCAGGGTGAAACTGAAATATAGCATGGGAGAGAAACTTTAAGCTAAAATAAGAATATAAGTAGAGAGCAGGATAGTCTTTAAACATGGTGACAAGCTGGAAAGTGGGTGGGCTAGACTGAGCATTGTCATTTTGTTTTTTAATGCAGAACACTCATGATCCATCCATGCAGAGTTCAACATCTATACTGTTTCACATAGATTAGTGGCACACCGACTTTACCTGTTGGCCTTTCTCCGTGTCCAGTGCATGACGTCTGTGATCAACTTCACTAGCTGGGGCACCGTTGCCAGGACGACCCCACTTGCGGTCAAAGTTCTCATGATGCTAGGTCAAACAAAAACAAAGCAAGACTTAATATAGCACAATAATGACGGCTTCAATCATGCCCAAGTATTCCCTCGGTGATGATGAAGACAGAGAGATGACAGACCCATGAAAATTCGACTGGTTTGAGCTCATTTAGATGAAAAGTCGTTGTGAATTCATAGGATGCCATTCAGATGAAACGAATATGTGCCATGACGTCAAGGATCATGCCCAGACTGAGACCGTAACTGCATAAAAACGTGAAAAAATTACTACTGACGTTTTTTAATCACCATTCGGCTAACTAGGGCCCACACAACATGTACCTTAAAATACTATAGTCACAAGCTTGTCTCCTGCGAAATTTGAGACCTTAAATCCAATTTCTAAGCAAGTTAATGGCAGCTTGAAAATCACCCATTTCGTTCTAGAAAGCTTGTGTGCTTCGCAAAGTATTCTGGGTCAAATGTAAGAAGTACCTTGCAGCTTTAATACTTGTTTTTTTAATCGTTGGCCAAAATTAAATTGTGCCCTCTATTGAAAAATACATTATTCATATTGCAAATGCGAGGTTGTAATAACAAGAGGGCGCCGTTTCAATACACAAGTATATGAAAATGCTACAACTGAGGAGTTTTGTCGTCCTCAATTCATTGCGACACACATCGACGTGATGTATCATGTTTAGACTTCCGTAACTCTCTGAAAAAATAGAATTAACAGCTAAAATTTCGAAGGTGCGATGCTCACAGTAACAACTAAGCAACACAGAAGTTTCGAGAAACTTTGAGCAAACTGTAGTTAGTAAGACGCTTGCATAATATAGCACACTGCTTTTTTTTTACGCAGCACAAACTTTTGCACAAATAAGTTTTGGGACACTCATACACAGTATTGAGGTCCCAAATTTTCAGACAAAATCATGACCACTGCCCAAAGTCATGATGCTAGCAACATTAGCGATGCTCTAAATGTGGGTAACAGCGACTCAGAAAGTTGGAGGCTTTTATACTTACAAATCGGCAAATAAATCAATACGAGAACATTGGTCAGTTTCTCTTTGTATATTTGGAGATTTTCAAAGGCGATAAACTCACACACCCTTACGCTTAAGAATGAATTTAGCATGAATTTGTTATCTTACATGTGCTGAGAGATCTCTGGACTCTTGTTTTTTGGCCAGATTTGTCTCGTATCTCTCCTGAGCTTGCCGTTCCAATTCACTCTGATATTCCAGCCGATTGCCGACTGGCCGACGAATGTCCATTCTCTGTTTACATTAAAACAAAAACAAAAACTAGTTGATCAAAAGCAATTTGACTGTGCTATTTTCCATAAATTTGACCGACACTTGAACATTTCTGCCATGCATTCTGCACCTACATGCAGACGATCGATAAGCATTTTTGGAAAAATTGAAATGACAATCTATTGTCTGTTCTCCTTGCCATACGGCTAGTTATTACACAGTGCACTTAAATGGGATGTCTCGTACAATACACTAGAGCTGTCGTGACTAGACCAAATTAACAGTGCCAAGTACTCTGCCTGCATCCGTGCACGGAGCACATGAACTTCACAAGTCCGTGCATGTATGATAGCAATGAACTGTAATTTTAGCAACATTTCTTACTTGAGCAGTGACGTCGGATGTCTGCTTATAATGTACAGGCAGTATAGCCCTAGTCACTGGATCTCTCTTAGGATAGCCAATCTCCTTAGCACGTATCCATGTGGCTACCTCCGTAGCCGGCTTACGGATTTCCTCTGTCTCCTGATCACGTAGTTGGTGCTGTTGTTCTATCTCTTTCTCTGTGTTACACAAAACAAAATTCATCCACATGTTCAACAAGTTTGTCGTTTGGTCCTAAGGTTGCCCCAATGTAATTGCAGGTAAGGCGCACTAACTAAAAGGTATAAATTGTGTGCCAGCTAGCAAAGCACAGAGTTTTCACACTACCTCTAAACATTAACAACTTTGCCTTCATTGAAAAATAGGGCAACCCCATTGCTTTTGAATTATGCTTTTGCATACAGTTGTAAATCACAAAAAGTAAGGTGGGTCATTCCATAAATTTGAGGTCCAAAACTAGTGTGACATTATACAAATATAACATGGTTTGAGGGTGGACAGTCGATATTCGCTCCCCAAGGTATTGGAAGTTGGCAAACTATTCGCCTCGGGAACTAGTTTGTCAACTTCCAATACCGAGGGGAGCTAATATCGGCTGTCCACCCAAAATAAACCATGTTATATATGTTTTACTATAACTCATACATATTCAGCGCCGATTTGTTTGTTTGTTTGTTTGTTTTTTGTTGCAGTGTGCACCTCAAAAAAGTTTTCTTGAAAAACTTGTACAGTTCACTAAAGAATCATATTGTTCAAATTCACTAGTTCAGTTCGTTTACAATACAGTGCAGCTGTAAATACAGTAGCTTGTGTATAACATTCTTTTGTACAGGATGCATCTCTTTTGTCCATAAATATTCTCTAGTTCGGCATCATTGAGCTCGGGAAAATAACGCGCCGTGCAACCATCTCTTCGTACGTGTGTAGCTCGTTTGGGCGATGTTCGTGCGTGTGTACTACACCCGTGCGACAGTTCCACGATTGCTTTGTAAAGCGCATGCGTAGTAGACTGTCGCACGGGTGTCTACTACGCATGCGTATTTACCCTGTGCGTGAATCCTCGCGTGCGCGCTTGGTAAACAGCAAAAATAACATCTGGCACATGATGGTGAATTGACCAGTGAGAGTTCGGCTCTCGATCATGAATATGTATGAGGTATAGTAATTTGTTGTGTCCCTGTGTAATATGCCATGCGAGAATCATCAAAATTTATTTCAAACTATTTTAGAACTATTTTGGCAGGTACTCTGCTTTGCATGCTCACTCCTGGAGATAAAAGGCAATCAAGGATGTGCCCTGAATTTACGGAATCTTATATCAGATGTAACAGGGACAGGAGAAAAACATTGGACCCCAAATTTATGGAATAACCGGGGTACAAAGTAGTCTGTGATGTGTCGAAAGATGGAGAGTTTCCTAGTTTTTGTTTACAGTGAATAGTGTCACAAAATTGGGCCCTGTGCCAGTTAGCTACATAAAGCGCCCTCTGTGGGACGTGCATAAGAGCCACAGTTGACTTACTGAGCTGACTGAGGTATTCTTTCTTGGCCATCTGTTCTTCGGGTTTCGGCAGTCCTATTCCCATCTTATCTTGCTCAGCTTTACCGCGATTCATGGCTACGACGTTACCGCCTTCGTCCATCATGGGGGCGCCGTTGCCTGGCCGGCCCCAGGGGTCGTAGTCCCCTGGTTGGGGAGGCCCTGATGGGTCACGAGCCATTCGCTCTGGGTGGGTAAAGAGGGGGGAGGGGGCGGAGAGAAAATGAATTAACACAGAAATAATAGGTCTCTCTCAATTGACGTCAATTCCTACAGATTGTCATGTGCAGCGGCATTTTGGGCATCAGCTTTTCTTGGCTGCGCCGTATTTCGAAGAACTTTGGAGCAACATGCATGCATGTTTAGAACATTGCACACTGCGCGCAAACGCACCTGGTGGTGTTGAACACGCAGTTGTAATTTTCCTACGAAGATGGCTGTCTTTGAGAGGGGTCTATATATAGCTTAGTGGACAGACAAATACCTGCAGAACTCAGAGGAATGATGATTTTGCCATCTCCCGCCCCAACATCATAAAAGGTGTTCTAGTTCATTCTCCGAAACAGCACCCTGGAAGTGCATTCACATATTCCTGCCATTTGTGCAGTGTAAAATGTAAGTGATCATGCAAATTTGATCATGCTTAGACTTACTGCGAGTGACACACTCGAGCATAACCAATGCATAACTAGTGTTCAGTAATTTGTTTTCATGGCAGTTTATTAAAACGTGCCAATCCACACAAAAGAACCACGAATGTTGCAAAAGAGACCAATTAAGGGCTTATTTCAGGGAGCTGTTTAATGAACAGAAATCAGTTTTACCAATAAAATGTTTTGCAAAGCAACAACGGATTATTAGTCAAAATGCTTTGTGGTGTAATATCGCTTTTCCAAGCCATTTTTTTTTTACAGCAAGACAGCTCAATAAACGGGGCCCAAAGACAGTTCATATATATCAGCAATGACAATGAGTGCACAAGTAATATGTGAAGAAGAGTACATACAGACAGTAACTACTGAAATACAAATGAGAGGTTAAACACAGAATGTTGTTGTGAAGTAAACAAGTTAAAAAGTAAAGTCTGTCGTGAGCCAATATGGCCCAACACGCCAGCGTTTATCTCCGGTTTCAGTAGCATGAAATGACTGAGAATATTTCTATTCCCCCTGGATGGGATGCTAGTCCATCACAGGTTACTCCCCAGCTAATACCAGTACCCATTTATACTCCTGGGTGGAGAGAGGCAAGTTGGGATGAAGTGGCTTGCCCAAGGACGCAACATATGGCCAGCAGCTGGATTCGAACCCTGGCCCTCTGATCATGAGTCACAAACCCTAACCACTAGACCACACTCCCCTACTGTTGTGAAGTACTGTATGCTACACTGGATTATCAAGGTTTCGAGTCAACATTTTAACTGAAGTTATTAGTAATACAATGAAATCTCGATAAGTCAAACTCCGATAACCAGGGGTGTGAGTGACCACCGATAATAGCTGAAAACAGCTGAAAAAGGTGTAAAAAAGCTGAACTTTGGAAATCTCCTATACTTTTGTACACAGCAAGTGCGGGAAAAAAGCTGAAATCCAAAACAACAAAAGCTGAAATCAGCTTTAAAGCTGAGATTTCACACCCCTGGATAACTCAAACCAACTGTTAAGTCAAACAAAGAACCCATTACCTTCAGTAGTAAAACAATGATATACAACCCTGCTTAACTCAAAACTCTGCTTTAGTCAAATTTTGAACCTGTTCCCTTGAGCCTTTGACTTATCAAGATTTCACTGTACAAGCATTTTAGTGTTAGTAGTTGCTGAAGCCACCACTGCAATTTGTATGATTGAAATGAACAGAAGTGCTTTCTAATGATGTGCAACACTGCTGGTATAAGTTAAATGGAATGGCAGAGAAACGTGAATAGAGGTATAGAATTAGGTAAGAAGGGACCATGTGAGGATGTTAGAGAAACACAGCGTGCAAAATGACTTGACCAAATCAGAATACCTGAATGTCGATGGGAATCTCTCACGGGCCCTGTTGAGGTTAAACATTGAAAACTGCTCAGTAGATTGCATAAAAACAAGATTTCTAATCATTTTTTTTTTAAATATAGAAAAAAAATTATAAACAAGGCATTCTAAAAAAAAACACAAAAATTATAAATGTTTGCAAAAAAATAAAAATGATATCAAATAATGTTGGCTGAAATCTAAGGACATTATCTTTGAATGAACTCTGTACCTCCAGTGTTTTGGTCATGGACCAGCGTCAGTGGTACCCTGGTCAACTTTTCTCCCTTGGCATCTACTCTGTGACCTCCGCCTCCGATAGGATTGGTCTCCAAGGAAACGCCCTGTAATTATGCAGATCGTACGAGATATTTTGTAACACGTGTATCAAGTCTTCGGGATGCTGCAATTTCACTGGCCTTAATTTTGTCACATGTCAACTTTATAAAAATGAATGTACCGATTTTCTGGCTAGGTGCTCTGGGCGGTTGCAGTCAAAAACCAGTTGCAACTGATAGCGTATTCAACCCAATAAGCATTCTATTCATAGACAGCCATCTTCGTAGGCAAATTACAACTGCTTATAAAATGCCATCAGGTACATGTGCGCGCAGTGTGCAAAATGTTCAAAACAAGTGCGCATGTTGCTCTAACTGTCTTCGAAATAAGGTAGAGTCGATGCGCATCATGAACATTTGACTCCCGAAATGCCAATGCACGATACAATCTGTAGGCAGTGACGTCATTTGAGAATATCTATTAAATGGTTTATTTGTACAATTTCTGAAAAGTTTTGAATTTGCTGGCAGTCACCAATTTGTTACTGTACATAAGTAATTACCACTTTCTTCCAAAATCAAAGAAATTGAAATGCTGATAAATTTTTTCATCTACCTCATTGTGTGAGTCACGGCTTACCTTGATGTCAGGGTCTATAAACACTGGTACATTGGTGCCATCTGTCCATTTGTAGCGTCTAACATTGCCTTCTTCATCTCTCTCGGGGACTCCGCTCCCTTTACCCCATGGATTGTAGCTCTGATCAACCTGAAATGTCACCAAAGTAAAATATTGTTATCAGGAATGGAATCATGATAGAAAATTTAGAACTTCGTGATTAAGTTCTGTCGGATGGACACATCAGGCCCACAACATGCATCAAATGAAATAAAGCAGAATATGCCATGGCCCAGTGGTTACAGTGTTTGATTCATGTCCGATGGTACGTGGGTTCGAACCCTGCCAGAATCATGGTGTTTGTGCCCTTGGGCAAGACACTTAACTACAATTGCCTCTCTCCACCCAGGAGTATGAATGGGTACCTGTGAGGGTAGAGGACCGAATGTGCGCTTATATATATTGGTTGCTGCATGGTCTCATGGCCTGATGAATGTGGGAAAACTTGTAAAGCGCTTTGAGATTAATAATTGTAAGCACTACAATTTTATTTATTTAAAGTCAAGTTTGTTGCATCTATTGAAAAGTAAAAGAGAGAGAAAAAAATAAAGGCCAAATATTGAGAATTCGGAATTGGAACTTACATCTGTTGACCTCTCAGCCCGTGAACCTGTCAAAAAACAAATGTACTGATGGTCAGTTTTCATCATTTGAATCACTGGTACTTCACTAGTATAGTAATTTCACCGAGTTTAAAGCAGAAACAATGTAAGAATAACAAATAGTGATCCCAAGAGGACATTTATACAAAGTATATTCCACCTTATACAACACATCCACATCATTATGAATTTGAACATGCCTTTTGAATTTGCACCACATCATGACTTAATTCTATCACAATCATGTTATTATGCTCCAGCATTTATTTGTCAGCGTATCTCCTGTAGTTGTGGAATCACTCACCTTCACTCAGCCTACGTTTGCGTTCTTGCTTCTGCTCCACTTCTCTCAATTCGTAGCTGTTCTTGACCAGAGTTCGTTGCCTTCCAACCAAGGCTCGTCCTACCATCAATGGACAAAAAAAAGATGTAACAGTCATGCACAATCCTTCTCTCTAGAGGGTTGCTTGATTGTCCGTTTGCCACAGACGTTGACAGAGAGATCAAACAGAATTATCCAACATATGGTCATTCAATATTGGTTTTGCCCTTCACCGATGTATTTTATAAACACAGTATCCGCTCCGTTCACAAGTACCCCCTCACCGGCAAAGAAAGTACAGTTGGGGGTGACCGACCGACACCATCTTGCCTGACTGCAATTCATTTGCCGCGAAGCGCCGCGGCGACTGCGTGTACGTAGTACAAATCCCCTGGTGTACATGCATCACACACAGGGAACGGTGCGCATCAACCAGCTAAATGTCCCGCCCATGGGACGTCGTTGCTAGGTAAAAGGGCGCCCTCTTTCATTAGCGCACGGAGCCCATACTCAGTGTTTGTGACAAAAAATCACTCAGGTGGGACTCGAACCCACGACCCCCTGCTTACTAGCGCAGGTGTCTTGCCACTCGACCACCGAGCTTGCCAGGGTTGGCTGACCGATTTGAATCATATACAGCAGTGGGTAGCGCAATGAAACTATTCGTTTTGCAGACATAACAACATAATATGGCCATACAAAACAAACACAGATGGGTGCTGAAGTGTCCATCAGCAAATGTTTTCACGTTGGCACAAATAATAGTACACAGAGCCTACTATATGTCTGCCACATGGATATTAATAATTACTTAGTTACGGATTATTATTACAAACATACTTTATTTTGAATTCACAAACTTTCATTACCTGAATCCGTTTTGATTGGTGCACCTCCACCGGACTTGCCATATGGATCATACTTCCACTGTAGGTATCAAACAATTCATCAAGAATTAGAATTTGATAAGAAAACAAAGTCCAGGTACTGCAAATGGTCATGCCTATTATGATACTACAAACTTGTTACATATAGCACTTTAATACATTTAAGTCCTAAGACTAGATAAGTTTGCGATAGCACCACATGAATAAATCTCTTTTGTGAGTATGTGTGGTTCTCAAGAGAATCGAAGTGACTCAACGTTTCGAACAGTATGCTCAGCCCGATGTCAGGAGACTTATCTAGTCTTAGTATCTTTCCACCATGCAAACCTTCGAATCTCACATTTAAGTCCGTTTTGGATTGGAATATGTAGTGCTGTGGGAGTGGAGGGGATCGGCATCGTATTGAGGAGGCACAGGCTGAGGTGGTTTGGTCATGTGGAGAGAAAGGAGGATGTCAACTGGGTCAAGAGGTGTACCAACGTGGGCCCACACCCGTCGGCCGACCGCGCAAGACTTGGCAGAGCTCCGTGTCAGATGACATGCGACTGCTTGGAGTCAATGCGAGGGATGCGACGGACAGGGCCAAGTGGAGGAGAGCCATAGGGAGAAAGCAGGCCAACCCAGAACAGACTGGACAACGGCCTTAAAACCGACATCATGAGTGCTGCTTCAGTCGCGAATGTCCTTTAAAGCTTGAATATTCTCCTGGGCTATGGACATCTGTTGTAGTGTTTAAATGTCCAAAAACTAAAATCGTAGCTGCCCTTCTCTCTTCCCCCCCCCCCCCTACCCCCGATTCAGTCCAGGTCTTGAACCCTTTTTCTTAAAGGAAGTATCAGGTCTGCAAGGCTTCTGGCATTTCTGCTACGAACTCCGTGCATAAGTACCCCCTCAACGGTAAGAGCAAGAGAATTGGGGGAGACTGGAGAGACATTCTGCCGATGATGCCTGATGCTTACGCGAAGATGCTATGAATTTGTGCACAGTTAGAATAAGATTATTTGTGCGGCCGGGAGCCCACACGTGACCACCTTTGCCTGGACAAATTATCTCAGGGTGTCCTCCTTTTTTTTCTCTTTTTTTACCGTTTTCAGTTCCTCTTCAAGGTCCTTCTGTTTCTCAATTTCCCTCCGTGTTCTCTGCTCCAAAGCCAGATTCCCTGTCGGCAGTAATAATACACAAAACAAAATGCAAAATATGAAGCCATTTACACATTTATACAAATTCTATCCCTTTCCTTCTGGGATCTAGTAAATCAAAGATTGTTCAAAGAAGCATGCTTCTAAGAACTGTAAAGGAAAAGTTGATAATTATTCACGCAGGTGGAGGCCGCCAACAGTAGACCGACTAGAACAAAAATGTGCTTAAGCCCTGAGATGCTGCTTTTGTTGAGCTATTAGTTATACAGAGACAGCTAACAAAGGTTTTTCAGTTAAAACCAGTTCACATCGGCTGACGTGTATACACGCAAAGGTTTTGCGGTATTCGGAACGGGCAACAGGTACACACACGAGCGAGGCCGGAAATATTTGTCAGCGACCCGCTCGCAGCGAGTGAGGCCGGATATATCAGGGTTTGCTATCCGCAGATGAAGGCCTGAACCCGTCTGGCATCGAGGTTCATGAAAACAATCCCGCTCCTGGGTCCAGACGATGTCAAAATAATCCCGGCGCAAACTGGTATAAGTCATTTCAAATTAAGTCCATTTGTATAAATTCAATTTGAAGTCACTCTTCACAAACATTTCAATTACTGGGTACTTGACAGACAACATTATATTCACCATCAAGTGGTACTCAAATTCTACCATCTTAATCTCCGTCTGTACATTTTGTAACCGGAGGCCTAGCTCACCTAATTCATTGATGTACTCATCCCCCTTTTTCCTCGGCTGGGAATACCGGATCTTGTTGTTGACATTCTGCTGCATGTTCTTCATCCCACCTTGGAATCGAATTTCGTGATTGGCTCGGAAACTTGTCTGGATTGAGCCGGAGTCAGTGCGGATAGGTGCACCGTGACCCTGCTTACCAAAGGCTGGAAATTGTAGCTGTGCGGGAGGAAAAAAGTGTAAAAAAAAAAAAATGAAATCTGAATTCACAAATTCCACCAATGTTACCGATCATATCGCTGGTAACTACTGCTGCATCAGAATTTGAGCCAGCCGGCCAAACTTTGACAAGCTTGACATTTGCACTAAAAAACAGGAGGTTGCTGGTTCGAGTCCCTACTGACCCAAGCTTAGAATTTGTTTCTCATGGTTCTCAGAGAGCAATTTACTTTCACTCATTCTTGACTTTGATAACATATGCGTAACAGTTATTCAATAACAGTTGTATAATACCAAAATAGGGCATAGAAATATTCAAGATTCTTACCAGAAGTTCTCCTTGATTTCCTAAGACGGAATCCTCCATATTCTTGGTTCGTCGGACGTTAGTATCAGAGCTGACAGGGGCACCTCCTCCTGGCTTGCCCCAAGGCTTGTAGTCTTTCAGCATCTGAAGATCCTGATAAAAAGGTCAAAGAATAAACACAACCTGAAGTTCCTGTATGTAATAATCTGTCTAAGATGGTGAAAATGCATTTCCCTTCAATTGCCAAACAGCAACTTTTTTGTTCGCACATACATGTAGAGTCCACATTTGGAGACAATATCAGAGGCTCGGGGGGGGGGGGGGGGAAATGTCTTTTGTTTTCAGATGAAAAATTCTAATTAACTCTGATTTAGATTTGTTTTCACGTCGGAGAAGTGTGCCAGTTCTTGGTTTAATGTACAGACTGCACACACAGAAGGAGCGCTAGCACTTTTGAAGACCATTAAGAGTGTTCAATCAAGGTACCAGGGCTAGCTCTTCATTGGGAAGATTCGCCTTGCAAGGATTAACTGGTAAGGCGGGGAGTCATGGTCATACAGTAGGACCGTTCCTTCATTACTGCAATGGTTCCAGTATGCATGGAACTGCCTGCCAGACGCCATTGTGGATTATCCTACGACAACTGGAACTAGCTAGGCCTTCTACTAAGGACACAGAACTTTCTTATTTTGTCACGTTTCTTCAAATGTTTCTTGAAATTGCCATGGTTGGAAAGCCCACAATGTAAGCTTTCATTTGGTATATAATAGAGCTCCATAGCACATCCCGTTCTGGAGATGACGTATTTGCACATTAATTACTTCTTTGGAGTTCAAATTACATAACTGAGAAAACAGGCTTTGAAATAGCTTGCTTTGTTGTAGAACAACAGAACAATGCATACAAAATGGTGTTTTTTCCACTTTGTTCATCAAAATCAACATTTTTGTGCATGTAACCTGAAACTGTAGGTATCAAAGATCACATTTTGACGAAATTTTCACCCTTTCAATGTTGAGTGGGCCATTACACAATAATGCAGAGCGCGACTTAATTCCCTTTTTTGTGGAGCTGGTCACAAATAATAAGACTTTGCACACAATGTATACAGTTATCATTACTGCACCTTGTTATCCTTCTTTTGGTTCCTTTTGGTACAAGTGGGCACTGCTTTTTCATTTTTTTTCAGGGCTTATCCGTAAAAAAAAAAAAAAATCAAGAAATGACCAGTAGTACGTTTTGTTATCAGAATATCAATAGAGTCTATCAACCTTTCTCTTTTCATCGTGCAGTTGTTGATAGGTCATCTCTTTGTTCTGTTTGGTTTGAGCAATGTCCCAATCTGCCTCACGTTTCTGCCTTGATCTCTTCCGTTCCTCGGCGGACCTGGCGACCGGGGAAAAAAAAGAAGCAGAAAAGAACATTATATCCACAAATTATTGCAGAATTCTTCATACAAAGATTTTGAATGACGGCTATAAGGGCCAATATCATCATCAAAGAATTTTTGAAATGTTTACAGAAATTTAGGACAACATGTACAAGAGTTGTGGTCAATCCTCACCAATCAATCACAAGCAAATCACAAGTCAATCACAGGTTAGTCTTAAGTCAATCGCAAGTCGATAGCAAGTCAATCACAAGTCAATCGCAAGCCAATCACAAGTCAATTACAAGCCAATCATAAGTTAATTACAAGTAAATCGCAAGCCAATCACAAGTCAATCACAAGCAAATCCCAAGTCAATCACAAGTCAATCACAAGTCAATCGCAAGCCAATCACAAGTCAATTACAAGCCAATCACAAGCCAATCCCAAGCCAATCGCAAGCCAATCGCAACTTAATCGCAAGTCAATCACAAGTCAATCACAAATCAATCATAAGCCAATCGCAAGCCAATCACAAGTCAATTACAAGTAAATCGCAAGTCAATTGCAACCCAATCGCAAGCCAACAAGGTTCGACCTTAACTTTTGCTTTCACTAGCCAGCCGGGCTACTGACGCAGACTCTTAACTAGCCCGCGAGCATTTTCACTAGCCTGCATTTTTTTCTTTCATAGAGTGTCTAATATTATTAGACAACAATGTGCTCACATGTAAAACGTGTATCCTGAGGAAATCTTGTCAGTGTTTTTAATAAACAGATCCAATAATTTACAAAATGTAAACCTACACGAATAATGAAATTAAACACAAATTGATACCGGTTTGATTTCTGAATTTAATGATTTATTTCTTCCTGTTCTTTCATCTTTGCCGTAGCCCAATAATTTTTGACTCGCCAACCGGGCTACTTAAGGAATAGTCTGACTAGCCTGCCGCTGTTTTTACTAGCATTTGGCTAGCGGGCTACCGCTAAAGTCAAACCCTGGCCAATCACAAGTCAATCACTAGTCAATCACAAGTCAATCACAAGTCAATCACAAATCAATCACAAATCAATCACAAGCCAATCACAAGTCAATCACAAGCCACTCACAAGCCACTCACAAGCCAATCAAAAGTCAATCACAAGCCAATCACAAATCAATCACAGGCCAATCACAAGTCCTCCACTGAGTCTCAAGTCCAGTCACAAGCTACTCAAATGAACTGCCCTGTTACTTGTGACCTTGTCTGTGATTGACTAAAATGATTTGACTTATGATTAAACTTGAGTCGGACCTGAGTGTCTGCAACACACAACATGCGTGTCAAAGATAGAGACGGCTGTTTTGGGGGAATTGACTTACGTTCTGTCTTCAAGTAGGAAGACTGTTTTTCGTGGCGTCGGTGCTGAGCGTCTGAAAGGCATACCATCGGAGCCATACTGAATGCCATTGGTTGCCTTCTCTACGGGTCGCCCTGGTTACAAAAAAGGCAAATAAAATAACATACAAAATGTTCGGAAATTACTTTGAACACCAATGACCTTTCTTACGTGACATTTAAAATATTCCATTGGCATGATCCTTAACAGCTTGAGAAATAAACTTTCTACAAAAATATATCGGTGTGGCAGTTACAACGGGAATTTTACATCTACAGACAAATAATTGGCAAAGTTTGTAAAAAAAAAAAAGAAGACAAAAAGAACAAGAACAAGAACAAAGCCAAAAACAACAAATCCATAAATACATAAAAGTTAGGAAAAAGTTTCCAAGATTCCGATTGGCTGTTGGTCAGCCAATGAGAGCACATCAGGGTATCTTAATGTGGACCCCCCATAAATCCCTGATATCATGTGACATACTCTCATTGGTTGGGTCATCTTCAGTAAACTTTGCAGGATGTGTTGGGATTTCTGCTCGCTGGCCTGGTGGCAGGCCTAATGGCGGGAGAGAAGACGTTAGTCAAACAATAAACAGGTGTCGTGACAATGATTGGGTTAAATTGACAATGTATACAGGATGGGAACGACAAAAACAATTAATTACCGTGTCCAGTAAATTTGTTACTCATAATTATGAAATGAACACAGTATGAGCACAATAATGGACAACTTGGACAACATATAAATTTGCCAACAACTTGACGATGACGAGGTACAATTGGAATGGATAACATGTAAGTGATAATAACTTGGGTCCAATAGAATTTTAAAGGTAGAGTATATCATTTACAGCTATCCAAAAAGTAACTGACGAAAATTATTGTTGAAAAGCACACTTGGTTAAAAGATAGTAATGGCACTAAACTCGCTGTGAAATTATTATTTCTAGCATGCTGTCATTTTGATGCCAACAATAAAAGAAGGTCATTTCCAAAGATGCTTCTAAAGATGCATTTTTGGAAATTTCCGTTAGTAGATCGTTTTTAACTCGGCTAAGCCATAAGTGGGTGCGCCCAACCGTTGACAGGACGCGCAAGCGTTGACACGACGCACACGCGTACGCGGTTGCTATAATTTGTCAGTTCAGTACATGACATCACTTAGCTACAATCGGCTGAATCAGTTCAACGTGTCCCGCGCTGATTGTGGGTGCAATTCAAAACATGATTCAGTGACTTTTGAATTGAAATTGAGATCCTAGAATATTGTTTTCTCGGAATATACAGCATTCACTGAGCTAAAACTTCATCAGGTTAGTTGTTAAGCACCCTCCTTTAGAGTTTGAGCACTTTAGTTGCTTCAAACGAAAAAAATGCACAAATGACAAATGATCTACCCTATAAGGGAAATTTAGGGATTCTTGTAGTTTGTTTCTATAAACCTCTTTTTTTAGGGGGGGGGGAATGTGCTGTACCTTTGAAGAATTGAGGGTGCACAGGTGAGTCATATCATACCTTTAACAAAGTGCTGTCCCTTTTTGAAGTTCCCAAACGGCTGACTGTTATAATCTACAATTCCTGTGATTGGTTTGCGGACATCGGAGAAATGTCCAGCAGGGAAGCCCTGGAATCTATGGTGCTGCTGATCAGTGAGGGGTTTGGTCCCCTCCAGGACTCCAAGCTGGGGCATGTCCATGGGTGATACTGGATATAAGAAAACAACCGTTTGTCCATGTCTGTTAGGATTATTGACAATACAGGCCTGCACAGATTGTTTTAACTTTGATTTTTTTTTACAGTTTACAATTGAATTCTACGGAGCTGGTAGGATTAAACAATGTCTTGTTTTAGTTTCATTGGAATGAAATATTACATTTAACAATTGTTGACAGCTGGAATGTGGGACATGGTGCTCTATGGTACAACAGAGGGACGCATAGCGCTCGAGGCAAACTCACCTTAGGGTGTTAAAAATGCCATATCTAACATCACAGCAGTCAATAATTGAAGACTGAAGACTCAATAAGGCCAAGTAAAAAAAAAAAAACCAGTTGATCGTCCGGGTTTTTTTCAAAAAGAGGAGGACGAGGGTCATTTTTTGTAATTTTTGTTTCCAAGATGGGCACCATGTATTTCAATTCAAAATGGTTGCCAACTTTGGTTTAAAAGACTCGCCAGCTTTTAATTAGCTATCCTGATAGTAGGCCTAAGTAGAGCCAAAATATTCATGTTAAACATGTTCAGTATATTATATTTAAGCAAAATACCAGAAAAAGTTAGCTTTTTCAGGTGAAAAAAATATATATAAAATAAAGAAAAAAAGGATGAGGCTTCAAAAAAAGGATGCGGGCGGGGACGATCAACTGTTTTTTTCTTAACTTGGCCTAAAACCATGGAGTTTTCAGGCAGTTTTGGGCGCTACAGTGAGTAAATAAACAGGGCAGTTCCGCGCGCTACAGTGACCAAAGAGTTAACAATAAATGTGGCAATCAACTGTTGTGTAATACTTTCTATTACCTTTTCTATTACCTTTCTATTTGAGAAACACTGTGAACAACCATGGAGGAAGGATATTAAAACATCCAGTCTTCCTTGGAGTCTATTCCTTCCCCCATGGAACAACTAAGTTATCAGAACATGTTTAATTTGTGTAATAAAAACAGACCTTAATTGTGTAAACAGTTGTTACCATACACTGTAGAGTCCCATTCTACAGTGCACAAGTCCCAAGTCCACTTCCATAATGAAGCGTTCATGTTGGCCAACAATTTTGTCATATTTGTATTGAACCACTGAAGTGACAAACCCAGTACATGCATTTCATTCTTTTAAATTGTTAAGATAAATTTTGATGAGCTGCAAACTGGTTTTCGAAATTAATATAACATTGTAGACATGGAAGGCTAGCAATATCAAACTTGTAAGTAATTTCACAAAATATATCATTGAAGATTAAATCATTTGCCATATAACACGGTACTTATTCCAAACATATGTTGGCCTACAATGTAGGCCTTTTTTTCATAAGAAAACAGTAGGCCCCCACTAAGTGAAAACACTTCAACACAACATTTATTCTAAAACTCAACACAAAATCAATTCTAAGTAGGCCTACCTACTGGTACTTAGGCACGTCTCTTTGTTTTGGAACAACTAGGCCTATACACAAATAAATGAAATCTTAAATTTTGCGTATTTCCAGACATACATGTACAGTAAGCTAAATTATAGGCTACATCATTGGGCAATTGGTCAACTGGACTGTTTGCTAACTCAACTCAAACCATTTTGACCGTTTACCGACTCGACAACCATTGTATAAACTACACCGTTGTGCGTTCAAATGGAAAAAGTCAAGTTTCCAACTTGTCCTTTGTCCAACTCATCTGTTGTCCAACTCATCCGTTGTGTCATTGTACATAGACACAAACAGGGACGTGGTTAAAACATAGTACAATTGTTTTCCTAGTTCCATTTTTATCTGGTCCTATCGCTTCAAATGCAAACCTACCTCTTTTGGATTGGTCTCCAAATAGTTTTTTTCCCCATGAAGTGCATTTTGAGACAAGGAATTTCGGCCAGATTTCCGACTTTGACATATTGACAGGGTTTGTAGAAATTCCGAACTGCGAATCGATGATAAGTGTTCTCCTTGGTACACCAGAACCTATGATTTCCGAACATTTTTTTCGTACTCTACGGTTGTATTGCTCATGCATCAAATGCTTGTTCAATTAATATGAGTTGAAGAGTCTCCAATATTTGAAAATTTGCCAACAGCTGAACATATTGCCTAATTCCGGATCGCACGTGTAAAAGCACGTAATCGGTTTGACGTGACGTTTCTGTGATTGGTCAAAACTCTGACTACTAACAGTCCATTGGTGCGATTTGTGCGTGATTGCACTTCGTCCTGCAGACGAAATTAACTTTCAAAAACATTTACGCGATTTCTCTTTTTAAACAAATTACTGGAATTCTCTCTTAAAACTTAATACTTTATCAAAAAATCTGCTTGATTCATGGTGGTTCTGGCTGAAAAATTGTTTCGTGTGATTGTTTTTTACGCACGAAGCCTGTAGTCCGAAGCTACGCAGTCCTCAAAGAAGCAGCTAGCTGCAGGCTGCACCTCTCACGACCACCGCATGATCAACCTACTTTAATGATTTAATACACGAAAGCTCATACAGTTCTTGAACCCTTGCTAACTGTGCCGAATATATCTTATTAGCAGTTTAAAGACTTTATCGGACGAGTTGGTAAACGGTCGAGTTGACTCGACTTTAGACCTGTAAACGTGGCGTCATGTTGTCACTGACGCCATATTTACGGGTCACACTTGACGTGTGAAGTCGAGTTGGTCAATGGACGAGTTGGTCATGTTGGTGCAACGGTCTGGTTGCAAACGGTCCAGTTGGCAAACGATCGAGTTGACTGATCATTGCTATATGATACTGCATCTGTACTCTAAGTAAGAAAGTACAGAGGAAATTTATTGATATAAAGGAATACATTTTATTAATAATGCCATGGTAGCTAGACAGCAAATCCTCCATGATCAACCTGATCAAGCGAACACTAACTTGAGAAGTCAGTGAATTTTTTTTCCCAACTTACTGTCGTGTTCCAACTTCAGCGATCCACTATTCGCCATCTCAGAAATCCCCAGTCCGCCTGCGGTCTCTCTTATCTTCAGAACAAGCTTTCTCCTTTCAGAAACCTTTCGTTTACTTTCCTGCCGCCTATCATCACCCACAGGCTGCCATAGTACTTCGGATTAGACCACTTTCTTGCACCTTGAAATGTTTGCACAACTTTGTATGGTATCTTATGCGCGTGCCACATACGCGTTGCTAGGCAGGCGGCAGGTGGCCGGCCGGCCGTACGGGTTATCTGTATACGTACGACGGCTGCTTACTGCAGATTTCTTGTTTTATAATCAAACAGCCGTAAAAAATAATACACACCTCAAGAGGGCGCTGTGAAAGGACACGTAATATGCATCGTCTGCTAGCAAAGTAGCATGTAGTGAATTTCCGGAGCTGTAAATTCAGGCTAATTCTTTCGTTTACAAACCTGGTTATTGTAAGAATTTCCAACATTTACCAGGGATACCATCTTCATTATCCATGGATCGTCTGCAGGCCATAGAGATCACCCATTTACAGAGACTTCAGCATGTTTTCGGCGATTATTCGGAGGCTATGTTGTTCCTCTCGCATTTGGGCGATCCACGTAGCGCGTTTTTAATGTGTGTGCCGTTGGTGTATTGCATCAGCCGAGGGGCGGGGCTGAAGGTCTTGTGGGCGGCTGTCATGTCGGAATGGCTCAACCTTCTCCTTAAATGGTACAGTAATAGGGATCAAGTCATATACATGTATCGTCCTACTTCATAATTTTTTCTTGATCCAAAGAAAGTTTGTTTATATTTTCCTCTATAATTTAGTTCCGCCGGGAGTTCAAATTGCAACACATGAATAAAAAGGAAAAATGAGAAACTATGAATGATGGTAGATTTTATAATATTATCATTTCTTATAATCGATTATCATTTTTCTAGGATACTAAATGGGCATCGTCCATACTGGTGGGTGCATGAGAGTAAACTCTATGAAGATGACAATCGGCCAATCATCAAGCAGTATAGACTGACCTGTGAAACAGGCCCAGGTATAGACCTTATGCATATGATGTCATCATTGTATAGAGAGATGCACAAGTTGAGTGAGGTCATGTTGTCACAACATGACCTCACTCAGGTCAAATCTTGCATAAGTTTACTGTGGGAGAACAGCTGTACATAACCTCTATCGCCAAGTTTGAGTTTTTCTTATTGCAATGTTCAAGTACAAATGTAATGTTCGGTGCAATCTCATTGTAGTGCTGAGTTTTTCTCCTGATGTGCCCCATAGTGTACTCCTTTAGTCCCCCCTCTAACATGACTAATCAAGTTGGATCTGGGAATTTCTGCAGTTTAATCTGATCGAGTCATGGTTTTACACAGCGTCCGTGACGTCTGGGCTCTACGTTGGATGCAGTGAATGCATTCCTCTTCACAATGAAACAGAGAACACATTTTCTCTTCTCACAGCAACAGCATTAAAGTGTACATGTATGCATGAAGTGTTAAATGTTAATTTGTGTTAACCAGTTTCTACTTATTATTGTAAATCATATGTCATATTCTAATTGTTTAATTTCTTTAGGTGTACCGTCTGGCCACGCAATGGTCGCCACAGCAGTGTGGTTCATCATGATGTCATCCCTAGCAACGCACCTGGCGACGATGTCCAAGTCGACCAATCCGAGGAGCCGATTGATGAGGTTTATTTGCATATTGCCATGGTTATTCCTGGCTGGGCTGGCCTCTGTCATTTGCGTATCCAGAGTTTTCATAGCCACACATTTCACACATCAAGTATTGCTCGGTGTCTTAGTTGGTAAGTATAAGTGTGGTTGGCAAAATGTCCCTGAAAGTTTTCCTCTCAGATGAAAATTTGAGTGTTTATTTCGAAGTCTTTTGAAACTAAGTTGCTGTGTTTTATGAAACACTTTAATGACGTATTCTTTTGGTGTCAAGGAAAACAAACGATTAGTGCAAGGATAAGGAAACATTGGATACTGGCAATTTTTAGCAAAGCTGCAACATGCCTGAGTATAGGGGAACTTTAATTAATGAAATACAATGCAGTTTGAAGACGTGCTGAAATGAAATTTCCAAATACTTGCTATGAAATTGAAGTGATGCAAAGAGTTTTGAAGATGTTTTCTTATTTTTTGTTGTTGCATGGTTTCCGTAGGTGTCCTCGTTGGACTTTTCATCTCCAATCTTCAGGTTCATGCCTTCTCAACATCAACTCATGTTGGATTCGCCATCTTTGTTGTCTTGGCAACTTTCCTCCAATATGGCATCATGGCCGCCTTGAACTTTGACCCCTCGTGGTCCATGACCCTTGCCCTGAGGTGGTGCGAGCGGAGGGAGTGGGTTCACCTGGACACGACACCCCTGTACTGCATAGCGAGGGACTTTGGTAGCTTGACTCTCCTGGCTGCTTCAGAACGGTTCGTCGCAACCAAAGAAATTGCCGGCGTTGGACGTCAAATTGCGGCCGTGGCGACTAGCTTGATCTGCGCACAACTCATTGAACTGGTTCGATTTCCAATGGACAACGTCAGTGTTTTCTATGCGATGGGAGCAGTCAAATACGGCGCCGTTGTGGTTTCTACGGTTGCCATCAAACGGTTGTGTTGTTATGGTAAAAAGAACAAAACGCTTTGAGGTTCTAAAGCCAATTTGACGTCTTTAAAAAGTTATGATGCCAAATTTTTACATTATTTACTGCTGAATATGTTAGTCAGAAGACAGTATGGGCTCCATGCACAAATAACCCATCAACGGCCAGAAACGGAGAGTTGGGGGTGACCTAGACTGGTTCCCGATCCATCAACTGCGTATTTTGAATGTATCCAAAGTTATTGGAGGCAGGCACTGGTCTGCGAGACCATCGCAAGTTGAATTCGAATGCCGACGACGCCTAATGCTCATGCGAAGACACGGTGGCTACAGCTTTTGCACATTCAGAAAGTTGTGCGTACTTCGTGCGCGACCCAGTACAGTACGGTATGTGCACACTGTGTGTCCCGTCCACGGAGCTCTCAAGAGGTAAAAAAAGGGCCCTCTTTTGTTGGCGAAGGAGCCCATAGGGACAGCTTTAATACAGTACAGTGCATATCGACCATACTCATGTCATGGAGTAGCCTTTAGTCAAGTCCCACGCGCTTACCTGGACACGTGACGCACCCCGGATGCTGACACGTAAAAAGACTAGCACGAGCGGTGAAGCCGCGAGGGCCTTTACCATCTCGTGGAGAATGCTTATGTTTCTCTTCACATTTGTCTACCGATTTGGTAGACATGCATAATGCATTACCCGTTGTGAATTGACCAATGAAAATGCAGAATTACTAACGTAAATCAGCCGTCGTCTGGCGTCAGACAGCACGCGCGCCATGGCGCTGGTGCTGCTGCTGGTAACCGCAAACCACTGTTAGACGATTGGTTGATATTGCTTGATTTATATTATGTGAATAAATGAATAAGTGATTAGTTCCACGAGATAGTAAAGGCCCTCGCGGCTTCGCCGCTCGTGCTAGTCTTTTTACGTGCCAGCATCCGGGGTGCGTTACGTGTCCGAATGGTCCAGGTATAGGCGCGTGGGACTTGACTAAAGGCTAGTCATGGAGCTGCTAAAGAAATTAGCTGAAAAGTAGATACAAGCAATGAACGTATCAAATTTAACCCCGTTTTTTTTTTTGGTCTCCATGCAATTGGTCAATGTGCATAGACTAGCGGCCTATCCATTTTCCCAGAACTGGATTGCAGTGAAAGCATTAAATACCTTTACGTGAATGTCTGGAGTGCTGCTGAACATTCAGTATGTAGTATTTGCAATGCTTGTTGATAATTCTTTTAAAGGGGATGATTGCTCAGCGTGAAAAAAAAAAAAGCGTACCATTACACTGAAATTACAATCAAATCACTATTCGGTTAGTTTTATTGCTCATTCAAATTAGCACATATAAAATATGATGAAGTTTTTATAATAAGCAATGCTAGAGAGGTTTTTTTTCTTCTTATTAAATTCCATATTAAACTCTAGACATCTTTTGCATACGAAAGCCACTGTTCCAGCACTGTTTCTAACGACAACTCTAAGGGTATCATTCTCTCAAGATGATTGCTTTAACCTCTACAGTAGGGACTACAAAATCAGTGCCTTACTACTGGACTGAAATTAAACGGGTTTGTTTTCAATCAAAATGTTTACTTCAGAGGCGTTACCAATTTATAGACAGTACTAATGAAACTACAAATGACCTTCATCTGAAATTAAGGTTGCACAGACTTTACTGGGGTAAAATTGAACCAATTTACCTGTACAAGGTTTGTTAGTGTATAACATGCATACTCTGATGCGAATAATAGGCTTCAGCGTACTGCACTACGAGAAAGATAATTATATATATTCAATGGTTATATCTGAAGCACTTGATGCAGAACTTATACACACCATTTTCAGTGACAATACATGTAGTGGTACAATGATAAATTTATATGTTCTGGTATTTTCAGTAATAAACACAGTAAAAATTGACGAGTGCCTTGATGTGTGACACAATGATGTTTAAACAGAATTATACTTGTGTAAAGGATTCTGTAATACCGAAATGATTGAATAGAGGTTTTAATGGCAGTTTTCAACTAGAATGAATTCTTAATAAAAATGAATAGTGAATGCTACACAAGAGCTAATCAAATGTGAATCAAATTATATCAATATAATATATAAGAGTATAGTTTTGATTATATATCATCATGCATGTTAGAGTTTTTCAACACAAGTTCTAATAACTTTCTGCAGAGCAAAATCAAGGATTTGTTTACAGCTGACATGTTAATCATTGGTAGCTTCTAATATTGCTTTAAAAAAAAAAGGCAAGTAATTTTTCGTCAATTACATTCAAGTTTTGAATTTAACCAAAAGTTTGGGATTTAATTGAATCAGCTTTTTATATTTAAATCCAATAGAACAACACTTTTCTGTTCCAATGCCAAACCTTTTGGGGAAAAAACATACAACTCTCTTTCACAAAAGAGTATATCCATTATAAACACACACACTTTTCACTTCATTTTGTCATTCGGTACAAATTCTTTCCATATCACCACTGTCATATTATTAGGTTATATATTTACATTTAAACACAGTACTTGTGTGGCCTTAGCATGGAAATAATGAGTAAGTTTTATCAGAACAAAAATAATAAAATTTGGCAAAGATAATTTGCCAGTACAAAAAAAAAAATAATGAAAAAAAAAAATCAATTTTATTTACAAACTTACACATTTTATTAAACAATGCTGACCTGAATACACAATCATATTGCCCACACAGGCTGGGTGAGTTAACAAAAATGGAAACTTAAATGGCGCCCCCTATTTTGTAAAGAAGTTTTGCATGTAGCGCGCCGCTTTCAAGATCTAGGAAGTGAAAGCCAAATTCATGATAAGCTTTCTTTTAGTGCAAGAATCATTTAAAGGTACTTTTTTGAGATATGTAATTTTGAACACAAACACAGTTTTAAGATTTTGTCCATGGATCACATTTGAGGTACGTGATGTTTCAGCAAATTGAAACCACGTCGTGTCATGGAAACGGTGTCAGAATAATCCCATAGGTCTCCAGGTAGCCAAGTCGAAGGCAGGGAAAGACTATATAAACTCTTGACATTATAAAGCATCTTGTTTTAACAGTGGAAGCAGAAGGTGTTTAAATAAAGGTTATGATGAGTGCCAGTTGTCATGGTTATGACAGTGTTCTGATGTGTATTTTTGATGTATGTGAATTGTTTTTGTTTTGCTGAAATATCACTTACCTTTACTGTGATCCATGGACAAAATTATAAAACTGTGTTTGTGTTTAATAGTCCATAACTTAAAAAGTACATGAGCAATATGACAATTCTTTTACTAAAATGAAGCTTATTAATTGGGCTGTTACATCCTAGATCTTGAACGTGCTACATACAGAACTTTTTTTCAAAAATAGGGGGCGCCATTTGGGTTTCCCTTTTTTTTTTGACTCGCACTGTATCTTCAACAAATTGTAGATCGTCACAGTTAATCTAACTAAACGAGTTGCACAGACTTATAAGTATTAAGGTTAATTTCTAACATTTCTAACCGGTGGATTATGAATAAAAACATTGAGATTATCAAATACAAAAAAAAAGGCTACACTTGTCTGTTTTAGTTAATTCCTTTTAAAATTATTGGCAGTCTAATACCTTCAACATGTAAATCTATATTAATGTGACCAAAAAGCTACAAACTGGGAACCAGAGAGACAGTCTACAATAAGATAGTTGTGAAAAAAAAATCTGGTATAAACAGTGTGTTAACAAGTACAATTTGTCAAAAAGTACACAAAAGGAGAAGAAACTCCCAGAGACATTCATTTAGTACTGACGATTTTGGAAACGAGGAATATACAGGGATACATTTAAACAATCTCATACAGAATCTTTTGAAAAAAAATAAAACCAGATACATTTGTAACTGTAATTTATAAATTGTAAATCTGTCCACTTTTTGCCAAGGAGGGTATTTTTACTTTTGAAAGTGCAATTAGAAATTCAAGCAACTTATTGACTTTGCATGAATTTATTAAATAAACTTTGATGAAATAAACTCAGTGATATGTACTACTACTACGTGTAAAAAAAACCTGTCCTACTTTTGATCCTAAATAACTCTGTTGTTTACCAATGGAATTAAACCAAAATTTTTGATCATGTAAACAAGGCATGACAAATTTTAAGGAGGGAATTTCATCAGCATTGTGCAAGAGGGTGAGATTTAAATGCCATACAAAAAAAAAATACTGACTTTCAAGTTTCACAATCTGCCACTTTCGACTTGGTGTCCTCCAATGTCGATACAGCGCTGGAGACGGTGGTAAAAGCCCCGTGCTGCGGCCAAAAGCTTCTGAAGGAATGCAGGATCACCCCTGATGTCATTGCACACCTCGATTGTTAGGCGCAAGACACAATCTAGGAGGTGTGCAATCACATCAGGGGTGATCCTGCATTCCTTCAGCAGCTTTTGGCTGCAGCACGCGCCTTCCGCCGTCTGCAGCGCTGTTCAACATTCTGAAAGTGAGTATTTTTTACGTATGGTGTTTAAATCGTACCCTCTTGCACTAAGCTGATGAAACTCGCTCTCAATCAAATTTGCCAAGCTTTGTTTACCTGGCAAGTCAATTGTGCTGTGCGGAATTTTGTCATTTGTGCAGAAATAAGAAAGAACTCTAATTTTGTTTCATGTTCCTTTTAAACATTTTCTTCCAAATGGCAAAAAAAATTCATGTTTAACCAAACATGTAATGAGTATGAATAACACCATTCAAATATCTTCAATTGGGCATAACAAAATATTGAATTTGTTCAATAATAACATTTTTCAATAAACATTTGACAAATTTACGAAAAATTCAACACAGGAATGTACACAGGGAAAGTTTGGCATCAAACAAGAAAGGAATAATAAAGGAATGGCGACATTTTGTGCATTACTTGACACGGCTGTGAAAAAGATAATTCACACTACCAAAAAAAAAACACACAAAAATTGTGACATTCTGGACACAATATGAACAAATGATGAAAGCTGCAAATTAAAAGTATTTAAGTAAAATTAAAACAATTCAAAAGTACAACATATGCCATCATTTGGGTGGAAGTTTCACACCATGTCTCCAATTCTATAAGCATTTGTACATTTTGTCAATTTTTCTGTGCCCAAAAGGAACATACTTTTCCATCATTCATTATTTTGTTTATTTTCCATGTGCATTTCATGTAGGTCCCTACTAGGTCCAACATAATCTAATAACGGCAACAGGCTATTCCAGATATATTGTAAAGAAAAAAAAGAAGACAAAATTGCATTGTTTGCATTTCAAACTTGTTCAGTTCCAACCTACAAGAAACATGCCGTAAAGATAGGGTAGATCATTTGTCATTTGTGCATTTGTTTCCATTGGAAGCAGCAAAAGTGCTCAAAATCTAAAGAAGGGTGCTTAACAATTAACCTGATGAAGTTTTAGCTCTGTGAATGCTTTTTATTCCGAGGAAACACTATTCAAGGGTCTTGGCTTCAATTAAAACATTGCCGAGCCATGTTTTGGATTGCGCCAAAAATCAGCATCCGGGACACATTTTCATTTAGCAGATTGCAGCTACGCCACGTCACGCACTGTACCGACGAATAATAGCCACCGTGCGCCTGTGCGTGGTGTCAACGCTTCTGCGCACCCATTCACAGATTCGCCGAATTACAAACCAACTACTAACGGAGATTTCCAAAAATACGTCACTTGATGCACCTTTGGAAATGGCCTTCTTTTATTGTTTTCTTCAAAATGACAGCATGCCAGAAAGAATAATTTCACATGCCATTACTATCTTTAAACCGAGTGAGCTTTTCCAACATTAATTTTGTCAGTTACTTTTCGGATAGCTGCAAATGATCTACTCTACCTTTAAGGAAGATATACCAAAATATATTTACGTCACTCTCAGTGACACGTACCCAACAGAGATCATGAATTTAACCTCAGTTTGAGTTAAAATACTTAAGTGAAAAATACTGGTGTTCTACGGTGGTGTTCATAAAATGTGACAAAGAAAAACAAAAAAAGCAGCAGTACTATCGCTGATCTCTTTTGAGTATATATTTTGGCTTGTGAAATATTTCTTGTCTTTTTGAACCAAAATATTTGCTCATCACATACAAAGAGTTAATGCAGCACATGAAAACATATATTACAACTCGTCAGGTGGATTCTAAATACTGAGTCACAAAGTCGTTTATGATTTTTCCTAACTCTACAAAAAATCTTTCACATTTTGAAATGCATTTCACTGAAATTTTAAATGTCAAATTAGCATCAACCTGCACTTGACATTATCATTTTTTAGATGCCATTTTTTTTTTGCAATCCAACATACGTTGGTGACTTTTCTTCTTGACAGTTTATAACTTTTTGCTTTTTTTACTAGGAGACGATTAAACATCAGCTATGAATTCTTATTGCCTTCAAATGAGGCACACAACGGTCCACTACACATTTCTTAATTTTTTCTTTCTGACAAATTGCACACCTTTCAGGGAATTTTTTTTAAGGAAATCTACGGACAAATTACACATGAAAACAAACGACGACAACACAGACACAGAATATTTTTTTAAGTGCAAAGCACTGTCACCAGCTCACACTTACACATGTACCAGCACGTTTGTTTATGGTGTAGATCAAGGATTTTCTATTGTTCCTCTTCCCTTTTCCTTTGTTTTGTACAAGTTTTCCAACCGAGGAGTCCTGAATTTGGTTTCTGTCCTCGATTCTTCGATGATGTTTCACGTGTGTGTCCTCGATTTACACCATAAACAAACACCACTCACACATCACTATCACTGAAACATTACTAATGGTCCTACAAACAGTGCAAATAGAACTTTCATTTCTTGGGCTTTTTCATCTTTTAACTTTTTTCCTCAGATTAACCCTAACCCTCCTCAATCCTCCGAAATCCTCCGAGCATTTTTGGAGGATTTTGGCGGAATGGCAAAAAAGCGTCCGTTTATTTTGAAGGATGCACTGTGTGGAGTTCGTAGGCTGTACCCAGCATTGTTTTTGTTCAGCTATGCATAACTAAGCCCTGCATTATGCTCGATATCATCTGCACTGCTTCTGAATGTCATCGGCACTGCCTCAACCAGTTAACAGTATTGTTGGAGCATTTTGAAGGATTGAGGCAATGGTCACCCCTCCACTGAACAAATTCAAGAAATAACGGATGATTTTGGAGGATTGAGGCTGAATCCAATTTTTCCACGGTGGCAATTGGAGGATTTTGGAGGACTGAGGGTGGTTCCTAGCCAAAAAGGGGGTTAGGGTTAACAGAGTGATAACTCCTCAACAAATCATCCACATTTACACATTGCAAACAACTGAGCAACTCACAACTGATGACTGTACCTTTGGTAGAATTCCAAATGTACACATGTACACACACACACACTGAAGTGACACACTTTTCTATACAGATATCACAAATGCATGCCTTATTCACTTTTAGTACTTGGCCCACCGTTCACCGTTCCGCTTCCAACCGCAGCCACCCCATTGGTCCCCTTGGCATGCCCCGTGCTTCCGTTCCGCGACTTCTGCGACCAGAACGACGACGTCCTGAAGTGGTTGGACTCACGGACGTTGTGCACGTACTGGGCCACGCTCTGCTGTATGTAGACGCGGACCGTGGACGTGAACTTGTTGAGAAGACAGGAGGACGTCAGAATACTGAAGAGAAGATTGTAGCCAATCACAAGGTAGAAGTTCTGGAGCCAATCCGAGCGTCCAAACTCACCAATCAGGTCGTAGCTTGTAATGCCTGACAAAGACACAGGCAAAATGTACACAAATTACATTAATTAGCATAATTACCAGGTTTTACTTGCACATTTAGATATTATGCAATTTTAATATAAGACCACTGCGCCCACACAGTCACTCGCTAAAAATACACTGCCCAAATTATTTCTTAACAGTCAGTTGCCGTGTCACACGTAGCTGCTCTATTTTCTCGTCCAGACAAATGACAGCAACGCGAGGCCAGCAAACGATGGCCGTAAGAAGGGCTTCAGAAAATTCGCAATTTTCATGGCAAACAAAGCTGTCTCAGGTAGTTAAAGACCTACTAAATACATCTATCTAGGTATTTTTTTCTCAAAAAAAAAATGATTTCGATGAATTTTGACGATATTATTTCACGGACATATTGACTAAAAAATATGCCATGAAATTTCCGGGTTTTTTCCGACAAAAACGAAAGAATGAACCTTCATCTACAAAAAAATCTCGTGAACGTGATGTCGTTAATATCTTAAGAATTCGATGTACACCTAATGTTTCCAACAACTTCCATTTTTCACAACGCAAAAAGATTGTCGCCATTGCATGCATCGTAAAAGCATAGAGCAAGGAAAGCATGGTATGACCTTGTGACCCCATACGCACCGCCCGCCCACTGATTGGTCGAGCTTGAGAAGGCCTGCTTAATATTCATAAGTCATTCATTGCACGTTCGCACGTGCTGTTCAGGCCGTTGGCCTACTTACTTTGGTTTACACGCGTACATGTGATTGCGAATCATGAAATCTCGCAAAAGTCTTTATTTTTCAACCGGCGATTTGGACCAAACATTAGAAGTCTCCTGCACGTGTTTCACATGAAAAAGAAGCGTATACTTTCCTCTATCTACTGAGCCTTGCCATTTCTTTTGGCCGTTTTTAGAATCGAATATATTCGGCCCTCGCTTTTGTTGATATAAAATATGATTTTGTTTGACAGGCCGTAATAACACTTATTAAGCAGTTATTTTTGGTATCAAAATAAAGCACACAATTTCAAATTTTCAATTATTTAGCCATCTTGGCCAAACAGTGCATGTATCGAGGCACTTTTTGTGTTTTTCTGTAGTCTCGAATACATCTTGAAAAATCTCACGTATGCTTTGGGCCATGCGTGCGTGACCTCGGGACAAGAAACTGAGGTCAAACAGGGCTGTGTGCGTGACACGGCCACTGACTGTTAACGCTTATTGAGGTTTAAAGGCAGCAGTATTTTAAAAAACCTGTAAAAAAATGTCTGTCTAGTACAGAGCCATTCTAAAGAAAAGTCAAGAATTGAATCTACAACTTGTCAGCAAACACAATACATTTAATACATGTAGATACTGTGCAGAGTGTATTCAAAACACTATCAATAGCTGATTAAGAAACTTGAAACATAACGTACTATGATTTTACCTTCCTTTTAAATTTAATATGTGATGCGATCAAGCTAAATGAGTCTTTTGTCGACCCTGGTCAATTTGTTTTTTAAAGATTTGAAAAGAGCACAATCTCAGCATTACTGCTGTGAAAACCGCATGCTGGTACCATCTTTAGTTCAAAAATCATGGAAGTCGGAACACCAAGAGATGTGATGAAGTGATGTGATGAAGTGGCCCTATTTTGGCCTGAATCTCCAAATGAAAGTTCCTGACAAACGACTCATTTAGCTCGATAATGAAGGTTTGCGGAAACACCATGTGCGAATAATTTCTCAACTAAGAGAATGGTTCTGAAAAGAACCAGAGGTATAAACTCGACGTTCCGGTCAGTATGCTCTGACCGTCTTCAGGAGAGCTTTTAGCTTGATCGCATCACATATGGCCGACTCGCAAATAAAGCCTTTTAGGGCTGATACACGCACAGAGCCCGCTACACTATATCCAAGTCTCCGATGTCAATTCTTTAAACAAGTTCCATTCTAGAAGTTGAGAGACTTACCGAGTGTTCTAGACAGCAACGGTAACGCTGAACTGAGTATGAGTATCACCAGGCAGTTGGCAATGACTTTGGTCATGGGGGTATCCCTAGTACGAGGGACCAGCGTTCTGAAGAACGGAACACTGTAAAATCCTACGACGGATGCTAGCATCAGATAGCTGGTAGGTAAGAGAGTTAAGGTGCAATGCAAAGGAGAAACTGCACTGGTAAAGCGGGAAGTCTTGGGTTTGAGTCTCATCATACCAAGCTAGTGATTTTTTTCCCCCCTCACACTGAGTTTTTAAGGGTACGTCGGTGAAGACATTTAATAACCTAGTATCAAATATACTTCTCTCAAATGCAAAGCTTGGAATGGTTTGCTGGGAATTCTTCCAGTTCAAATTAGGAACACCTGCTATTCTCCATGGGAACAGCCAGGTAAACAGTAAGCAATAAGGACAGCTAAGAGAACCAATTAAATGGAAAATATGGTTAAAACAGTTAGGCAAATAGTATCTAAATCTCCATGTGTGACATACCTTCGTGGAAATTCACTTCATGATAACAAAACTTTCAGGCACTGCCACGTACGGTAAGTGGCCAAAGATTTCTACGATCAGGCTCCCTAATCAAAAGATCTTAGCCTTCTAGTGTTGTATAATAGTTCCTTTTTAGTCTGTCAAAGGATACCAGATCAATGTGACCTCAATTAGCGCTCCAAATGAACCCAGCATTGACAGAGATACCTTCCCCAATCCAGCTTCCTGCAGAGATTAAAAAAATTAAAATGGATGGTTTTATTTCCACAGAAATCCACTTAGAGAAAGGCCCCACGAGGATCAAAACGCCAGGCACTCAAACTTTTCCGAAGATTAGTAATCAAATCCTTCGTTTTAAATGCAGTCATTGTCTGTTAATCCTGTCACAATAGAACGAAATCCATGACATTTTATGTACTGGTTTTCAAAATACAGCCACTTCATTACACATTCACACCTCAAAAATTGAAGAAATGAATAAATTTGCAGTTAACAAATGACACCACCTTTGTAGTATCCCATCTCCTAAAATCATTAAAATCATTTTCAACCATTCATTGAATATTGGAAGGTGTTTTCTTTGGGTAGGGAAGGGGGGGGGGGGTGGGGTAAATTGAAACTTACTTTTATGCTGACGGAGAAAAAGCCGATACCAAAGAGCAGTCTGAATATGTTCCATCCAACCACACACAACGACAGGACCGTCAAGGCAAAGAGAAGAATCCAGAGGAGTGGGTAACCAAGGTTACGCTGCCACGACGACGCCCTCCGCCTCCGGTCTAGTACCTTGCGGTCTCGCTGCACTTCGGCCAGTCTCTGCCGTATGTCAGTCTGTCCGTTTGGGTGCTCGATGGAGTAGACTGCGCTGGACTCTGCGTGTGAAATTTGAATGAATTGTACAAAAATATCTGTACAAAAGGACTGACTCAAACTTTATACAGAGCTATTGTACGACAAAAAAAGCAAAATACCAACAAAGACTAAAATAATGATAATGACTGACCTTTGATTTTTCTCAACAAATTATCCTCTTCAAATTTGGCCATATTGTATTCCTCCTCTAGATTCTCCATGAATTGAGGCTTGACAACCAGCTGACCAATAACAGAGAACATTCTGGTGAAGCCCAACGGCGTCGATACTGGAAAGTGTCAACAATCAAACTGGCTGATTAACCTTTTGGCGGCAGAATACAAGGACAGCTGCATGAAATTGCTATTTTTGTTTATAACCATTTGCCATTCTGAGAAGCAGTGAACCATTTACTGGCCCATCAGAGCCTACACTTGTGTGAAGCATTATGCCTTTCGAGCTCCTTAAAGGGAAAATACAACATTTGTAAACATCGAAAAATAAAACTACCAAGTCTTTACGAAATACCTTACTAGGATGTTGGTAAATGACATTCTAAAGCATCCTGTAAAATTATGGCACCTGGTGTGAAGTAATTTTCAAGATAATGGTATTTTTGTATACATTTCCAACGGTGGTCGGCCGACCACCGTTGGAAAAACCTAACTATTTTTCAACTACTGCTCCAAATTTACCATTTTTTTAGTCAAAATTTTATTTGCTATTGGTTACATGTTCATGAACGGGTGCAGGCCAGCTAGACTGGTTTCCTTACCTTTCAATTTTCTGGCATCTATAAATTGATCCATTTCATCTTTAGTGGAGTCAGGGAACCAGACTACTTGAACATTTTTGTTTTTCTTGGTTTTTTCCAGCATTTTCGAACACAAAACTTCAAACATGTCAGTGTAACAATATTTGATCTATTATACTATCCCCTCAAATAGTTCATTTCTGAAAATTACAGCAAAAGCCAATGATGTACATTCCCTTTAAAGGTATTATACAACATAAATTTGCAAAACATCAAAAAACAAAACTACCAAATTATTATGAAATAATACATGACTGTAAGTGAACAGTAGTCTCAAGCATCCTGTGAAACCTGGTGTGCTGTCATTTTGAAGAAAAGTGGAATTTTTGTATCAGTTTTCAACGATGGTCAGGCAACCATTACAGCAAAAGCAAGTGTTGTACACGTATATAACCTTTAACACTTTAAGTTCATTGACTGGTGAATCTGGGTTTTTTTTCACAGATGCACTTTATACCAAAAATCATGTGAATAAATAGATAAGCAGCATATTTTAAATAGGGTGTAACCATAAAATTGTCTGCAACTGATGTTGGTTCGACCATTATTTTCTATCGTTTCCTGAAAGAATCTGTAAACTTTGTTCAATGCTGGTTCTAGTGAATCCCCTAGACTGAGTTACAAGACACAGACATGACAGAGGCATGCCCCATATCTCAGAATTGTTTGCAACTAATAGTGTAGCCTTGGCCCAAGACGCTAGTGATCAACAGCGGATCGTGCATAAATCGCCCTCTAACGATGCAATAATTAGACCAGTGCACCTGCTTGCACTAGCGTCTTAGGAATTTCGTAGTAGAGGTTTAATTTTTCTTTATTTTCTCCCTAGGCTTTCCTACATGTCCTAAGGAACAAATCAGTGATCGCGAAATGGTTTATTATCAGTCGCTCGCGTTGCGCACGCCGCTTGATGGTTGTAAATACACGCGCTACGTGCGGAAATTCAACTGTGAAGTGTGGTGATCAAAGAATCGCTAATTAGATATACAACTTGTGCGTGATACCTGCGCGCGACTAATGGTATCAAATAGGAAGCTGCTGTTTTGTTTAACGATTTTAATATTTGCACTAACGGTCTAATGTACATAAGCAGCCACGCCCCTTTTCTGCGAAATTCCCAAGACGTAAGTGAGAGAAAGTCAAAAACAGTTGTGAGTGGGCACTCTACAAGAATAACTAAAATCACTTTCGGTCTTGGCCGCAGACTACTAACAGAGCAGTTAATTTATTCTTTGAAAATAAGTTCCGGATCACATCTTTGGTTTCTGTAATTTTATGTCCGACTTACTTAGCAACATGAGAACTCCCAACAGTGAGATGCATGTGTACAGGTATGGAAGATATGATGACCACACTCCTACATGACAAATAATGAAGACAAGAAAAAAGGCATGTCAGAGGAAAAAACTGTTGAAAAACAGGGCCAAATGCCATATGCAAGCATACGGAACTACTTGCATGTACACTTTTTCATGTAGATATACCCTATACCCATTCCAAAGATTAGCGTGAATTCAGATGAATGTCACGTCTGAAATATTTGTTTCTTGTTCCTCTGTCATTTGCCTCTAAAGAATGCCTTGCTAAGGCTGAAAAATCAGGGGCGGATTGCAATAACTGGTCTTAAAGCTGGCTATGCGCATTAGACAGTCGAAAAGCTCTGGCTGTCAGTCAGTCTATAAGTAAGACCATTGCACTGACATAGTCCAAGTATTAAGACAACGGTCTATAGTTGGGATTTTTGGAATTCACTGGTGTGTTGAATTATTCTTTCCCAAAATGTTTTTTTCAGTTAATAAGTGTTTGATAATTTAAATAGAAGAATCCTGCTTGGAGCGAGGATTTTCCAAGATAGAAGGAATCTTCTAGAGAAACGTAACGACACTGAGTTGTGCTGCAAATACAATTTTCTTGAAAAAAAACCTCGTAATTGACAGAATCAGACAAACGAAAAAATCGTGCAGCCTCTCTGGTATTATGGCGCTTGATGAGCACCACAACCCATCAGCCAGTAACCATGAAATGTTTGTTTGTAAATCATTACTCTAAGCAGGTTTAGTAAAGACAGGCTTATCGCAATGTGAGTTTGGTGTCTCTTAACCAAGACCGTCTCGGAGTGATGGTTAAGCCAGCCGACTAGGACCGCGGTATTGCAATCCGCACCAGGCCATTTTAATTTTTTGATTTGTACATTTCAGGTCAATCCAGTCAGTGAGCAGTTTGCAGCAGTTTTAATTCATTTTCAAGTCTAAAATTTTTGGCTGATTTTCCATTCATATTTGTCCTGGGAAGTATTAGTATCATCCGGAGATGCTGCTGTTTTCTTACTTTTAAAATTCATCTGATTTCTTCTCAGAAACCTCAATACGTTTATCTAAACCCAGAAAAATGCAAGAAATGGCTGACAGCAAAGTTCGTCCATTTTGGTCCAATTTGGTTACGAAACTAAGCACAAATGATTGCGGAGTACATTAACAGTATGAGCAACAATTACTTTGCGATTAACTTTTATCTCGCAGCACATTTTTATTGTCAACCTAAACTGTTACGAAGTGTCCCACCCCTGGGTTTTCTTGTACTACACCAAACAGCGCCACCACCGGGGTGTGCGCAGATCCAATAGACGCACTAGCCACATACTTGCGAGTGTTTCTCGACTGGAAGAATCGTTGTCCATGATGGCCGAGGCTACCCAGACCATGCCAAAAACTAGAAGACCAAGGATTAATAGAACCACAAATGTCTCATACACACGAGCCTTGATGCCCTGGAAGAAGAGGGGAAAAAAATGTGTGCAAAAGGTTAACTGGTATTCTGGCATGTGGAATCTTAGCCAGGTAAAACTTGGCTCAGTACAGGTTTTGACCCTTGACAGAATAACAATGAATGCTCAGTCATCCGTGGCCACATGCACACAATCAAGGTATCATTGGAAAGAGGACACATTGGTGTTTCGCATGATCTTTAACTTATTTGAATATATTTATTAGATTTTTTATAATTTGCATTTACCGTACATCTGGGTTTCCTTTTTTGATACACCCTTTATAATGTACATAAAATACATCGATGAAGGACAAAAACCCAATAATTTAATTTACATCGCCCCGACGGAGATTCCATCTTATGAATAAATGTATGTTACCAGCTAAGGCCAAGTTCGGGCAAGGACCATTAGTCGACTAGTGGTTGATTTGTGACGTACCTTACGCCTGCGCACTGATAGCAACATGTGAACGTCTCTAGTCAAACGCTGGTCAAATCGTCATCGCAAAACTTCTGGATCCTGGCTCTCTGCTTGCGTTATGAATGCGCGCGGCTATTGGTTACCAGCGAAGCAACCAACCCCAGTAGGCTGGTTCCAAATAGTCGACTAGCGTAGTCAACCACCGTCGACTAGACAGAGTTCGGGCAAACGTAAGTTAACCATTGGTCAACTATAGTCCTTGCGCGAACTTGGCCCAAATTGTCTTTTAAAGTTTTACCACAATCTGAGCAAATGCAATTTGACAGACACTAGAAGATTATTAACATAATTTTTCCCCCAAATCCTGCATTTTGTACTCAAATGACATGGGATGTGTTTTCATTACGGGATGTTAATCTTAACCCTAACCTGCCCAAATCCCCCAAAATCCTCTTTGCAAGATGGAGGATTTTGCAGCATTGAGGCTATTTGGCAAAAAAATGTGTGGCTGATTTTGGAGGATGCACTGTGTCAAAGGTCTTGGGCCGGACCTTGTGCTATTTGTGCACAGCCGTGCATAAATTTAGGCTTAGATTATTTTTGAAATCCTCCGCACTGCTCCAGAATGTCACTGGCTCTGCCTCAACATATTGTCAGTGATTGCTGGAGGATTTCGCAGGATTGAGGCAGTGGTCACCCCTATAAGGATCACATTCAAGAAAAAAATGGAGGATTTCACAGGATTGCGGCTGTATGCAATTTTTACATGGAGGCTGTTGGAGGATTTTGCTGGATTGAATGCTTAGGGCTTCGAGATAAACAGTGTTGCAGAATGCTATAAATAATATTTAACAAGTCTGAAATTTCTACTGTTTAATATACGCTCTATAAAAGGTACATGTAAGTGGCATGTTTGCGAAACAAATGCATGTAGATGGTGATTAAACATGCATATAATGTAATATTTATGTACACCAAGCATAACAAATTACAGTACATGTACATCAATTTACATGTACATTGCCCGGACCACAAGATTGCAACGGATATCACGTGTCACTATCACAGGTGCAAAACACATGATGAACACTTGGAAATGTACAACACAATGTGTTTCATAGAAATATTCATGTATGCACTGTACATGTTCAAATGTATCAACAAAAATCTCGCAGTATATGGTTTACACATTGAGACCATGGACAAAATAAATAACCTTTACAGTTCTTTACGGATACCTTTTTGGAGCCAGCGAATCCTTCAGACTCGGTCAGGAAGTAGGCAAAGGGCATCAAGACAAACAAGGCGAGATTGGAAAACAGGAATATCAGGTTCCAGAGTCCTAGGGGAAGGAAAAGCAAACAGAACGACGACCCAAGTTGTCTGTTAATAGAACTCGCGTGCACGTGACTTCAAGAGAATATATGAACAGAAAGCCAGTAGTTAGGCCGGATTGATTACCGAATAAAGCCCATTTCATCAAACCTTCTAGACTATAAACAAAACAAAAAGGACGAAGAAAAACAAAAAGCAAAACTACATATACTGTAGATGTAACATGCCTTTAGTCATTACTTGGCCAAAATTGTTTTCAAAAAATCAGACTTGTTGGCAACCTTTTGAGGCTAGAGTATCTGTTGCCAAGTGTTCGACATGACATTTTCAAACTTTTCGCACAAACTTCTTGTCATTCTCCGACTAAAAAAGGAAAAGAAGCAACGTTTGGGGAAACTGAGTGAGGAAATGCTGAATTTGAAGAGAATGGCTATGTTATCCATGCAAGAAATGTAGATGGCACATTGAAACCAAGCCCTGGTCCATACATGTACATGTATGGCAAGTACACGCAACTAATATTCATCTGAATTTGCACAGATATGCAGTATCTTCACATGGATGCCTGGTGTACATTTACTGCAGCCAAGGGTCTGTGTTACTCTCCATCGTCACCATTGAGGGGACAGTTGTGCACGAGGTCTACAAATCTGGGATGTAGTTGAGTTTATCACAATTAAGTTCCGTGACAAGTAAATCACAAGTCCATTGACAAGTCCATTGACAAGTCCAGTCACAAATTCAGTCACAAGTTCAGTCACAAGTTCAGTCACAAGTTCAGTCACAAGTTCAGTCACAAGTTCAGTCACAAGTCCAGTCACAAGTCCAGTCACAAATTCAGTCACAAGTTCAGTCACAAGTTCAGTCACAAGTCCATTCACCAGTTCAGTCATAAGTCCAGTCACAAGTCCAGTCACAAGTCCATTCACAAGTTCAGTCACAAGTTCAGTCACAAGTTCAGTCACAAGTCCACTCACAAGTTCAGTCATAAGTTCAGTCACAAGTTTAGTCACAAGTCCAGTCATAAGTCCAGTGACAAGTCCATTGATGAGTCCAGTCACAAGTAAATCACAAGTTCAGTCACAAGTCCAGTCACAAGTAACATGGGATGAACAATGACAAAGGAATGCCTCTGTTACAACTCATTTGAATAGCTTGTGTGTTGAACTGGGACTGGAGGACTTGTGATGGAATTGCAGGGACTTGCAGGGACTTGTGATGGACTCGACTACATCCCTGAAACAAATTCTCCCCACCCATTTCCTAGTCTGAGTATCACCCGTTATCCACGGAGCCAAGAGTCTCCTGTATAACGTCTGATATGTCTAGATATGCAGATATACATATGCAAGTCACGCGCCAGCCAATCGGAGTCGACTTTACTAAATCGTGACGTCATTTCATTCCCAAATCAGGACTAAACGGTTTGATTGGTCAATTCGAATGCAGTGTTTTGTAATGCAACAACAGCCAGGCGCATTATCGCATAACATGATACAGAGCGCGTGACACAGGTTTCAGGTTTTTTTAATCCATTGTCTATGACACGCAATGGGTGAATGACCTAAGACCCGATATAGAGAGCGCCTGTTGATTGGTCAACATCTAGAGGTCAAGAGGCGGTTGTCTTGCCTAATTAATCAGCGAACATATCAAAGACCACGGCATTTACATAGACCACCCCTTTCCCAGCCAGTCTGCCAACCTTGAGCCATGCTTGACCCACTGACAAACAACAGCCTATATTTGTGCTGACTCCATAAGAACTTTACCGTACCGTGAATCAGCGAGCCATTCAGCCATCTCATGTAGAAGTTGTTGGGATAGAAGAGTAGGACCTCGTTACTCAGGATAGAGAATGGCAGAAGGAGACCGGCGCCGACAGAGATGGCTAGGGTGAAGGTACAGCTCCATAGGGCGACACGGTAGACGATGGCGTCTGAGGCATCAGCTAGGAGAAGACAGGAATTGGTAGGAGTAAAGGTGGAACAAAAATGTTTCAACTTTTGGTTTCATCGGAATCCGTAAAATAACACAAGTTTGCTCTATCTACATGTACTTCACTGTACATCCTCCAAAACACTTCAATGTCTGCCTTTAAAGAATCCCATAACTTTACTGCATTGACATTACTGTCACACTGAGCAGCCACACACTCTATGTCAAGCTTATACCCTGATCATTAAACAACAGCCCCCAAATCACCAGAAGTATTTTTTTGGTTGAAACAAAATATTGAGCTTTTGGTTAACCTAATACTGATTAAATATGAACCTAGTAAGGTTCTAATTGTGGTTTATTTGATAAAATTACTTTTAAAAAGATAAAAAAGAATTCAATTTATTCAAAGATGGCACATTGCAACCTGGTATATATGACGACCTCACCTGAGAAATAATCCTCCTTATCTGCTTGTCTCTTGTATCGACAGATGACCAAGTAGGACGAGATGTAGAGAATGGTGAAGAACAGCAAGTCAATCTGCGATGAACAAGAAAAGGAAGATGCACAAATATTTTAAAAATATATATGTGGTCAAAGTGGAAGAGTACATGTACAATGTAGAGTGTATCCGTAATATTAAACCTACATGTGTATACATTATTACTGATTACGTGAACAATATAGCGTTAAAATTTTCCAATGTCTTAATCTTCTTATTTACACATGACGGCCATGTACGTAAATCCTTAGGTTGTCAGGTTTATTCACTAATCCCCGAGACACTGCCACAACTATTCTGGCAAATTGTGCTGTTGAAATGCTGTACTTGCAATAGATAACTCTCAAATGACGTCACTGCATACAGATTATCATGTGCATCGGCATTTTGGGAGTACAACTTTCGCAATGCGCATCGGCTGTTCAGTATAGAGTACCGAAGTGTGATGTCGTCTGTCTTTGTTCTGGTCATGCTGGTTCACACGCTGGTTAGCGCGTTGATGTCAGCATATCTACAAATGTATGCACGTGAACCAGAATACACAGGAAAACTTTGGTACTCTACATTATGTATTTCGAAGAACTTTCGAGCAACACGTGGGCGTGTTAAGAACATTTTGCACACTGCCCACACACAAACCCGATGGCGTTGAATATACAGTTGTAATGCATACGAAGATGGCTGTCTATGAGAGGGGTCTACATGGATACATACGACCTTCCTACAACCATATACAGTTGACTCTCGTTAATACAAACTCAGCCGGACCTAGCCAAAATGTTTGTTATATCAGAATTTTGTACTGTGAGGAACATCAGTCCCATTCATTGTGGACATAAATGCACAGAAGATACCAATTTAGGCTTTATGTTTGTTATAACCAGAATTTGTATTAACAGTGTCTGTACTAGTGAGAGTTGACTGTACATGTACCGGTACAATGTAGCAATAAAACTATTTTATAGCCTCATCAAGTTATACATATATGATGAAGCTAAACTTTGATATCTGTCATTATGTTTACATACCCGTATGCTTACTAAATTCACACTATTAGTGTGGTGAACAAATAATACTGAAATACCCAATCATTGCGTAGGTTTTAGGTAAGGCCTAAAAACAAGTGCCAATTTGCTGTATTACTTTGATTCAAGTTTTAATTGCGGGAGAAACGTCTTTGCACATTTTGCATTTGAAACAGAAGGCACCACACACAAATTTATCCAAACTTGAGCATTTCTCAAAAGATGAAAAATCAATTCAAATATTCGTTTCTGTCTTTACACGTTACAGCCGAGAATGATGTAGTGCGACTGAGGTTTTTAAAAACACAAACCGGGACAACTAAGAAACACACTAATACCTGTACAATGGGGGCTATAAAGTACAAATACAAATGTACAAATGTACAAATAAAGTACAAATGTACAAATACAGTATTCAGGTTTGTTTCTTCCCACCATAAAAAATTCAGCACTTCTGCATACACTATACACTACATGGTCTTGAATTTTAATAACGGATGGATGACACACCTACAATACACATGAGAAGGTTTTTATATGTGCCTCCAAGCATGAATAAACATCTTAATTTATTGGGCATCAGACATGGCCAGACCTTAGCATACCAGCCCTATGAGCAGCGCATAATCAAGGGATGCATTTTTTTTAATCCAAGTTGTGCTGAGGAAATGACAGCAGTACATGTTACAACTGCACACACATACGGGTATGATCTGGCAAAATGCACAGTGCATTTTGAATGAATATGAAAAATTATTCAAATACAAATATTAAACGGTACCATTTACAAATCAAATTTCTTAAATGACCCACCAGTACAAATATACACAGTTGCATTGTACATTTGTGCACAATAAACATAGCCTGAGTACATGTACTGTACCATGTACTCAACATGTAAATTATATAGTTATTTTGTATACAGTTTGTATGGTTAAAATTATCAATGTTTTAAAAATTAATACTTATCGGTACAATAACATAAACAATCAGCAACAGATGTACGTGCAACCAAAAGTGGCCAAGTGCACACTATGTGTTATCAATCCTCAAAAATATATGGTACAAAATTGAAAAAAAATTAATTCTGTTATTGTTCTCTCATCTCTTGAACAGAATATAAACTGTTGTCATCTTTGAAGTGCTGGAGAAGTCTTGAAAGAATTTAGTTAAAGGTACTGGTAGATGCATGCATATCATTTGTCATTTGTGAACTTTTTTTCTGTTTGTAGTACAAAAGTGCTCAAAATCAAAAGAAGGGTGCTTTAAACAACTTTTAGCTCGGTGAATGCTGTATTCCGGAGAATATTCTAGGATCTCGATTTCTATTCAAAAGTTGCCGAGTCATGTTTTGTATTGCACCCGAAATCAGCATCCAGGACGCGTTCTCAATCAGCCGATTGCAGCTAAGCGAGGTCACGTGCTGCCTACTTTTTGGATAGCTGCAAATGTGCTCTACCTTTTATAAGAGAAAGAGTATCCAACCTTTAAAAAATCTGATGTATTTAATCTGATTTTGTGGGGACAAGTCTCATGCTGCACGCTTGTGAGTTGCCCAGTTTGGTTTGCTGGGGAGACTCCATGCTTACAGTGTAATCAAACATACATAGTTGCGTGCAGTGTGCACTTGTTAGGTACAATCTATTGTATTCAAATACCCAATGAACTGCAACAAGTAAGAGGTACATGACAATGAATGTGCAATTTGCAGGTACCAGAAAATCTGATGTCGGCAGCGAATTTCATTCAACCGTTAGATAATACATGTAATGTATTTTAACAAGTTTGAAACATCCATGTAAAAATTACATGTATGTAATCTCCAGTTGAGATTACATAATTTTTCTCAACATACCGGTACACTATATTCATTCAATGACCTGTCATAGCTACAATAATTTACATTACCTAGGAGTATACATATATTTAAAATGAATTAAATGTCATATTGTGGCAGTTTTCAAAATCTTAACAGGTTTTTCAGAGCCACAGACTTTTAAGCCAATATTATACGTGTATTTGGTACAGAGCTACATTGTACATGTACACGTATGTATTATGATTATTGTGCTTCAGACTGCGTGTGACTGGGCCTCATATCAATGTAGGTTTGATGAAATGAGTAGGTATACAATGTACAATGTATACATGTACATGTCAGTACATGTACATATTCACCTGTTCAGATAAATTGGAGGAATGCGACCGATGTCAAATTTCAAGAATTTTGTGTTGAACAAAACACAAAAACAAAATGTGGGCTACGTGAGACAACTGTTGACTGGGAGAGATTATCGGCCCAACTGGCCAAGTGAATTCCTTGGGCCAAGTGAATTCCACAGACAGTAGATATTTCACAATGAAACAAATTACACCAATTTTCTCTCAATTGTAACATGTAGTCTATGCCTTAAGTTCCTTGCTCTATGGATACACTGTGTCTTTCAGGAGTCTTTTGGACAAGTACCGTACACGTACATTTACATACTTTATATATGTATACATGTATGTACATTTAACTTCAAGCAAATTTGGGCAGTTAATTTTCACAACCTGAGCACACATTCTGGTGCTAAGCTATTATATCTACAACACATAGTATGTTTGCATTGTTGAACCTAAAACATAGACTTCCAATCCCATCATAGATTTATGAACTGTTATGTATACCTGAATAATATATTATTGTTGACTTTAAACCTTCAAGTCTTATCTGACTTTAGAATGTACAAAATGTGGTGCTAGTGTCAACAGAAGGTGTAAATATCTAACCTTGCCCAGATACCTTTGAAACTGTTTATGTCCACAACCTTGAAACATGACAAACATTTGCCATAATATAGGCCTACATGTACAAACCAAAACCCATTTTCAGCGAGTCATTAAAGGGAATATACATCATTTGCTTTTGCTGTAATTTTCAGAAATGGATGGAATTGGGGGGTTGGAAATATATAGCAAATATAGTTACACTGACTTTTTGGAGGTTTTGGGTTCGAAAATGCTATAAAAACCAAGAAAAACGATCATTTTCCTGTAGTCTGGTTCCCTGACTCCATATAAGAAGAAACAGAGCAGTTTACATACATTGGGGAATTGTAAGGTCAGGGAACCAGTCTAGCTGGCTCGTACCCGTTCATAGATTTGTAATCGATTGCAAACAAGTGCAATGGTCAATTGGGGCCAGTATTTGAAAAAAAGCCAGTTGTTTCCAACGCTGATCGGCCGATCAGCGTTGGAAATTGATACAAAAATACCACTTTTCTTGAAAATGACAGTATACCAGGTGCCATAATTTTACAGGATGCTTTAGACTGTCATTTACCAACATCCTATTAAGGTATTTCGTAAAAACTTGGTAATTTTATTTTTCGATGTTTGCAAATGTTGTATATTCCCTTTAACATAGGCAAAGATCATTTCCAAACTGAAGATTATCACCATAATGTGAGTTTTAACTAAAATCCCCAGTTATAGGCCTACTCTTTATTAAAGAGGTTGTGGAATGCTCGAAGACATTTCTGTCATTTTTCAGGTATATGTAGCCTAAGGTGTGATGAAATAAAAACGACTATTGTGTCTGTCATGCTGTTTTTCAGGTCCTGAACGTGCAATTTGTGTAAAAATCGTTGTTGGAGGCAGCAAACAAAACATAGTAAATCGTGACGTAATAAACAGGACCCCCGATGCAGCATAGTATAAATGAGTCCTGTTTATTACATGTACGTCACGATTTACTATGTTTTGTTTGCTGCCCCCAATGACAACTTTTACACAAATTGCACGTTCGGGTCGAAACAGGACCTGAAAAACAGCTCTCAAAAGTACCTTTTGTCCTCATTTCATGAAAGACACAATAGTCTTCTTTTTTTTTACCCGAAAAATGATGGAAATGTCTTCGAGCATTCCACAACCTCTTTACTAAAACATTTACACTTTACAGAAATGTATGCGGTACAAGTACGGTACAATGAACAGATCATGTTTTAACAAGACCACCACATTAGCTGGCAGAGTAAGAGACAATGTGCTTGTTTTGTTTTTCCACACTTTATTCATTCAGTAATGGCAATTTGGCATAATACATTGTAGTTCATATTTTTCCGATTTCTATTTTCTTGAAAGTGAAACGGGACTGCTGAATGGTATCAGATGATACTTTTTTGTAAATGAAGATATGGATTTCTTCGGCCCGCGCCTATTGGACAAATGTTGGACAGACTTTGCGGTCGGTGGCATGGGCCAGAAAGTCCACACGCACATCCATGAGAAATGTCTGTGAATGAAATGGAATGATTAAGTATCCGCAATGCTGAATATTTCCTTCCAATATTTTGTGAAAAATATGGACACATGGATTTACAAAGTGTGTGAACTGAAGTTCCCTGTTCATCATTTTTTTTATTGTCGTCCCTCAAGCACTGTTGCTACTCTCCTACATGTATGTTGACGAGTTTCAAATTTCTTCAGTTCATGTACAGGGTGTCTCCAAAAAAGAAGGGTACCCATTTTTTAATGTAAATTATCAGAATCTACTGAATATTTCAGACAGAGACAACTACAAGGAAAAAGGCCAGGATGTTTTCCCTTATCCAATGACATTTAAGTTCATTACGTCATTGTCATGGATGAATGAGCAAACAAGGCCTCTAATGAAAGAGATCAAAATCAGCACTTTGACAACTATTTACCTGCAGGGTGGCAAAGGGAACACAGATGTTACTCTTTTGCTGTTACCACAGAATTTATGATAGGCCAGGCCAGGCCCGCCTAATGTAGGCATATCTGGATATGATCTGTGACTTTCACCCCCTAGGCCCTCTGGCTAGGATGCAACCTCAATCCTGAAAAATCCTCCAATTGCCACCAAGAAAAAAATTGGATTCAGCCTCAATCCTCCAAAATTATCCGTTATTTCCTGAGCTCTGTGGAGGGTGACTTGACCACTGCCTCAATCCTCCAAAATCCTCTACCAATTACTGCTATGGTTTGAGGCAGTGCAAATGGCGTTTAGAAGCAGTGCGGATGAAATATGAGAAAAACACAGGGCTGATTTATGCATGGCTGAACATAACCAATGCAGGATATGGCCTACTGGCTTGACGTAATGCATCCTCCACAAAAAAAGCGATAGGGGGCCTACATCTTTGCCATTCATGCTCACTCCTCTAAAATTATCCAAAACTGGCAGGAGGATTTTGGAAGATTGAGGATGGTTAGGGATGTACCACACAATATGACTGCCACACGGACTTGTTGCCGTGAGACATCATTTGGCAGAGCTTTTGGTGACAGGGTGATTTCGTTATTCCACTGAGTTGAATGGCCCCAAGATGGCCAGATCTCACCCCTTGTGAGTTTTTTCTTGTGGGGTCACTTGAAGGACAAGGTTTCCACCACGCCCCCAGCTAACATTCAGGAGTTAAGAACTGGGATAACGGATGAGGTGAATCAGCACCAAGACCAAGGAATGTTAAGACATGCTGTCAATGTCAGAGCCATGAGGCGAAGATGTGAGCTGTGCATTAACAGAAATAGCGGTCATGATAAAGGCACAGGACCATAAACCATGTATCCTGTAACTACCAGTAACAGAAAACTCTAACCCACATCAATCCTCCCAATTCTTATTGTGGTGTTGGAGGATTTTGGAGGATTGAGGATGAATGGTGTTTGAGAAACATGAGGATTTTGGAGGATTGAGGATGAATGGTGTTTGAGAAACATGAGGATTTTGGAGGATTGAGGATGAATGGTGTTTAAGCACGAGGATTTTGGAGGACGGAAGGTGTTTGAAGATGAGGAGGATTTTGGAGGATTGAGGATTAATACATTTTAAAGGCAGGACTGTCTGACGATTTTGAAGGATTGAGGCGCTGGGTATCCTTATTTGAACGAAAGTGCAACATCAGAGGAGGATTTTGGAGGATTGAGGATGATTACATTTTGCGGCAGGATTGTCTGATGATTTTGAAGTAAATGACCATGCGTTCTTTTTTGCCTTTATTGGGGAAAAAACGATCCAGACGCCCTTCTTAAGTTGTGTACAAAACCTATGGAGAGTTGCATGCATTTAAAAACTAGTAATTTCCATATTGGAAAAAACGTTGCAACCTGTCGCCACTTTTTTCTTCATATATCATTATCATCTCAATGAAGGTCATTCATTGCAAAAATGATGATAAGACATGAATTTGAGACTGAGAAATATTTCCAATTTTGTTAAAAAATACTTAGAAAATGTCTTGACTCTCCATAGACTCTGTACACAATCGCAGAAGTGGCGTCAGGTTGCACCATTTTTTCCAAAGTATTTTCTATTCTCACAAAATTGGAAATGTTTCACAAAATTGGAAATGTTTCTCACTTTAGTGTCAGACACGCCAGATTCATGTCTTCTGTAATGACTGGTGACAAAAAAGTGGCGTCACGATGTAACATTCTTTCCAAAAAGACTAAGATTTCACTGTCATTGTCAGTGTCAAAATCACAATGACATTGCCACACATTCCAGGCCTCCACGCGCACCTGTACTGTGGCAATGCAATGACGACTGACTGATATTGATAACCAACAAAAAAGTTGCACTTGCAGAAAATGGCTGCAACAAAGTGCAAGTAAGTATGGTCTCTCACCAAATACTCCCTGACTGCGTCGTGGAAAACCTGCTCTGTGCTGTCCCAGTGGTGTTCCATCATGAATGCTCTTCTTGGCCGCAATTTGCAATCTCCACAATTCGTAGAAACGGCACCATTTTATTAGTAACTTCACGCTCACATGTCTGCAAATGTAATTTTGCAACCGACGTGAATTGTTTACCTGCCGGATTGGTGCCCGGCGTGGCAAGCACCCACATATTGAAAGGTTGAGTGTTGATTACCAGCCATGACATTGTTCGAAAGGTCAAAAAACCTTGTTTACACAAGAGCGCCCCCACGAGGGCAACAATTAAAAAATGTAATTGATGAATTACTTTTTACTCCAAATTCTGCGCTTGTCGATTTTATTTTAACCACCAAGAGGTTGAACATTTATTAATTTATTATTAAAAGGTTTTTTACTTTCGTATCTCTTTAAATTCGGACCTTCTGGTTACACTGTATCATAAAAAATGCTTTACAATGCAATTAAAAAAAATGTTCATTAGTTTCACAGGATTCAGTCTGCATCATGAAAATCCTTTAAACAAAACTATGACGTGGAGAAAAAATTAAGAGGTGCGCTTCTTCAATTTTTCATTTATACTTTTTGGGAATCCAATTTAAAAAAAAAAATCCAAAGACACGTCTAGAATAATATATGGAAAATGCTGACAAATAATTTTCATTTCGATCACAATATTTCCACTGTCTTCTGGTTTATATAATTGACCCATACAGTTGTGTTGAGAACTTCCGATTTCCAGATTTTGACAGCTAGGCATAAACAAATTTGATTCAAATACGTAAACTTTTTAAGTGATCTTCTTCATAGATGATGAAGGTTCTTTAATAGACACATCACATGAATTCTTTTTATTGAAAGAATTAAATCGTCAGTATTGTGAAAAATAGGCCTATGGTGAACACATACCAAAAAGAAGGGCAAAAAGCCTCAAAGGAGGGATACAAGTCCCGGTAATTTTGAGATAATTTGATTATAAAACAAGGGGCTTGAGTTTTACCCGGAATATACAGTACCTAAACGGTAAAACGGATTTTCCGATCCCCAAATTCGGATACGAAACCATAAACAAAGATAGCTCAGTTTCTTTGGCAGCAGATTATTTTTGGTGATAAAAAAACAACAACCGAAATGCAATTGTTCTAATTGCAAACCATTTACAAGGGGAAATCACATCAATTCGTTTTAGCGTGAAAAAAAACTAGGTATTATTTCTCGATAACTGGTTTGAAACTATCGAAATATGCATTCCCGAAATAAAAATCGAGAAAGGAACAATGAGTTGTCAAACTAACAAACACGGTTGCGCTTTATCCCCGTTTTACATGTGAAATATTGATACATTTTCGAGAAGAATTTGATTTGGTTTTACACTGAATTTTTTTTTAACTATCAATAAAACAAACGCTGTGAATTGGTGTACTGGTTTACAGCTTGCGACCATAAAGACATTAATTCTATATATTAAATTTAAGAAAAATTAAATTTAAGAAAGATTCGCAATAAAATGCACTATACATTGCCGACCTGTTTTTCTTCGCCGTGATTATGTATTTCTCAGTTAGCGGGTATCAATTTGCAAGGCGTCTTTTTTTCTTTGGCTCGGCTAGAATCAACCTGCGGCTCCGGCGCGGTTTTATTTGTTCATCGTCCTTATATGCATCCGCCCCATCTATATGTATGCCTAAATCGTAAGATGTGGCAATTGACTACGGACCGTGCGATGCATTTCATTAAAAATAAAAATCGGACAAGCCAGGTTCATGTAAAATTCGATCTGAGCTCAGTGCACGGAAAACAGAACGATCATGTGTCGGGCGGGCCATCACGCGAGTCGTGTTTATGTAAAATTATAATTACTTCCCCGCTAAATTGACGGGAGATGCTGTAGTAATGCTAGATTTTTTGTTTTAATGGAATGAATTCTACTAATATTTTTTAATGGATGGTTAGATCTGAAAGTTGTTCAAATTTGTCATTTGTTTCGCATATTCTATACATTTTCTAAATAATTTAAGCATTAAAATGTGTTTGTTGTGCTTTTTTGTTCGTTTATAGTTGTTTGATCGTTTTGCATTCATAAGAATTTGGCATCGACCAAGTTTTTCAGGCACTCTTTTGAGAAAAAACAACTAAGCCGAAGCAACCATTAAGCTACAAATAGCATGCAAATTAAACTGGCAAATATATGTTGTTAAACCTGAACTCATCTTAGAAACTTCAGAAAACTCAATAATAAATAACTATCATCTAATGATTAAACGTCCAGAAATTAGAATCCTCCTTACATTACGCGTTCGAAATTCGTTTTATAATTCTTTCCACCCTTGGAATGTAGCTCGATCTTCCCAGTGTGTGCCATCAATTATTTCCAGACATTATTGTACCGAATTAATTTATTTAAATCAGTTGACATTTCTATAATTCAGTGATACTACTCACTTTTGGTATAAGACATGCGAGTATCTCACAAACCACACTAAATTGCATTCACATCCTAGTCGAGTCATGTACATGCTCATCCACCGCCCCTAATTTTACTAATTTTATTCAACGGGCATATATATCTGCTATGATGAAAAATCGTTAAAAGCGCAAACGGGGTACGGGTTCGAGTGCTTGAATTATCAGTAGCTCGATCTTGGGCCGAGGCATAGGAAAATGCAATGAAACGTGCATGAAGAACTTTTTGTGGCCATCTGCGTGCACAGTGCAGTCGGTAGGCCTAGTAGGCCGTTTCCGCAAGAATTCTTTGTTCTCAAAGTCAGTGTGAGCGGGTTTTAGGATCAGGCACCGGGGTACGAGCCCTCTCAGTAACCCCGTGGTTGTTTTTTTTTTACCCATGGATTTAGCGAGGCACATCAGCGAACAACACAAAGGCAAAAACGCTCTTTTCAGACAAAAGAATTTCGCGAACCCCATGTGCGCCGCACTGTATAGTGAGGAGCACATACACACGCAGCAGTACAGACGACTAAATTTGTACAAAATAATTACCAAAGTGAAATGTGCGCCCCAGAACAAAGAATTCTAACGAACACCGGATGTAAAACTGGAGAAGCGTGTGATCTACTTGATTAAGACAGGAAATATACGCTTATTTTGACTTTACAATAAATAAATGATGCTATTGTTTCATACTTTCATACGAAACTGAAAAAAAATTCGAACCACAAAATGTGAAAACAAATATGCCAATTAAAAACCAGTGGACAGACACACTGAGAGCCCGATGAATAGACGAACAAACAAATATTGCTTCATGGAAATTTTGAGAAACTGTCCGAATTTTTTTTTCTCAAAGAAATCCAACCTTTGTTTTGCTCAAGACCATTTTGTTAGCCCCTTTCCAATTTGCGGCATAAAACTGAAATTCTACTCCTTTTCTTCTTCGGCGTCGATCGCTTTCCGAAACCTGCATGCTTTCCTGTAGCCCTCCCCCCCCCCCCCCCGCAATTAATTTGCTCATCATGACCCCGTCCCATGCTTGCGTGTTTTCGTATAATAGCCTATACCCCCCCCCCCTTTCCATCCCCCCCCAAAAAAAATTGCTCCACCCCACGCATGCCATTGGTTCACTTGCCTCCCTCCTCCAATCTCCAATGGGGCCGTCGATGCGCGTGATGGCCCACGAGGGCCCCAGCGAGACCTGTCGACAACCCCCCCCCCCCACTCTACTCAGAATTTGGAAAAGGAAAAAGATTTGTATTTTCTGAAATTGTCAAAACATACTGAGTACCCTCTCAGAAAATGATCCCCAAAAGTGACCCCTCCCGCTCAGTTATAACACCCCATAGTACGCTTCGTACGGCCCGACTAGTAGCTGATACCCCCCCCCCCCGTATCTCCTCACAAAATTGGAAACCGGTAACGCCCATGCAGTTTACGGAGCTGCATTCATTTCCTGATCCACCGAGCACATTATATTCCCCAATGAACACGAAAAAAAAAACCAGGTGCGCGATCACATTTAACTCCAGCACTTTTCTGCCCTTGCCATTTGCAGTCAGTGTGAAATTATAAAAACCGACCAGTCCCATAAGAAACTTCAACGCTAAACATGCTAAAGTCCCACCCTAATTTAGAGCATTAAGCTCGAGTTAAAAAGAAAAAAAAACCCAAAAATAAAACACACACACACGGACAACGGGTATTTCCCTAAATAAAAGTGACAACTGCGAAATTTTACGTGAAATGTTAAAACATTTACAATAACCAAAGCGCTAAAAATGCCCATCACGCCCCCATCCTCTACCTGTCCTGCACCCTAGGTACCCTCATAAATATGCAAAGAAAAACAAATTTGGGGACTGTAAATTAAACTATTAAACACTTGTCCAAGTACGTACGTGTCCCGAAAATCCGCCCCCCGATCTACAAAAACCATAAGTTCCGACCATCTCTGAACTTGACATTGAGTTGACAAATTAAATTTGCAAGGTTACAATATAGCTGCTGAAAAGAGAGAGATACTTTCCACTCTTATTGATTTAATATTTCCACTATCGCTTTCACAGTCCTGTGAGTCTTTGATAAAGTTCCAGTGCCAGAAAACTTGGACAAAAATCAACCCCGGAGAATTTTGTAGCATGCCCCAAGCCGCACCTTTCATGTAATCGCTGCAGCGAAACGGAGATAAAAACCACTCAATGAAAATAGCATTGACATGTACACGTACGATGTACGTACCCTTCACACGTATTGATATGTGTGTTGTACGTTTTAACTCGATCAAAAATTATGAACCCTTGCCGATTTTAAAACGACCATTACACGCTATCCAAGTCTGTCAACTCCACCGAACCCCGACAGAATCCACAGCCATATATTCCCAATGATAGGAATTAACATCAAAATTTGATGAGATCCATTTCAATATGGTTTTTGGGGTGAAAAGTGTGGCCCGGTGCGCAATAGTGGGCAGATTTTTGTTGCCTGAGTGTCTTACATTCGCATTGTTTCATTTACAAGGTGCATTCCGTGACGTCACGCTGTACAAACCACATGCACTCGGCCCTCGTTACTCGTAATTCACCTTCCAAATCCTCAAATGTTCGTTTCTTTTGGATTCCCCAGACGCCGCACTTCTCCCGGATTTTTACGGCCGATTTCTCTGGAATTATTGTCGCTGAAGCCAGCAGTGGACTTTGGTGGACTGTGGGCAGTGGACAGGGTGAGTTCCGGGCACTTATCTGCCATTTAATGCCGTCTATTTTGGGCTCAAATGAACGAATTCTTTTTGTTGTGTGTCAAGCGTCTGACTACGGATTTTCTTACTTTGTTCAAAATGCCCCCAAATGGATCCTGTCCGTAGTGCCCGCAAAATCATCGGCGTTTCCTGCTCTATCTCTTGCCGTTAGTTCCATTTTGGTACACGGGAGTATTACCAGAATATCAGCCAGAGTTTGGGTAACTGTGTGGGGGTGTATGACCCCATTTGGCCCCAATCTGGTGCTAATTTGAGCATTTTATTTGTACACTTTCCGTGCGAGAAATCCCCGGTTTGCAGTAACCGTGTAACGTGTTGACTGACCGCGAGCAACTATCTCGCCAAGGCCAGACCATTTTTTTGCCCGTGATTTACACCAATTTCCCAAGCTAAAATCCCCGATTTGAGTAGTTTAGACAACCCCATGTGTATGTGTAGTCCATGTGTGTCTGTAGGTTGACTGTGATTTGGGTCAATTGTGAGCGATTTTAGACTTGATTTGAAGCACGATGGTCGGATCTATGTTGGCCTGCGGGTTATAGTGAAGCCATCATGTTACGCGCAGCTGCCAGTCGGTCCATGCATAAATTGACTCCTCATTTATCCTTTTACCTATTTATACGAAACAACAAGGGCAAACAAAAATGGTCGCTGTTTCTTATCCGTTGTTGCCGGCCGTCTTGTGATAGTTTCCCCCTGAAAATCCCCGCTGTATCCATCGCAGTGTACATCATCGTGTTAGGTAAGTCGTAGCGTGTACATTGTGTGTAGTTAGGGGGCATTGCACTGGCCATCCCCCGGTACTTTGGACACATTTTCCCCATCGTTTGTTTGACCTTCCGTGTGAAGCGTTTGATGGAAAATCTCTCGTTCTTTTTTTTTCATTGCAAAACAAGCACTTCGCCTCCATTATCCATTTTTAAGACCCGGCCTTGCCAGCATATTTTCGGGGTGTTTGGTGGTATTTTCCTCGGATTATCGTTCGTAGTGATTACCGCGTGTACCCGTGCAATGTACCCAGTGTGTGTGTGTGGTCGGTGTGGTGGGTTTTCTGGCCCGATTCGGCAAAAAACAATCAGTGGTATTTTCTTTTTCATTTCTTCCATTAACACGATCGCATCGCCTAATTTATTACCGCTGCAGTTAAGACATGAAAGGTCGTATTACTCGGGGGCGTCGGAGAAAGATCCAGATATCGAAAGCGTGGATTTCTTTTCTCTCGATTTTAAACAAGTGAAGAGTGCTCAGTGTTCCTGTGCTACTTGACTTGGACTGAGCTTAAACTCTCTCTCTTAACAGTTTAATATATCAGCTAACTTCTTAGACAAATTATAACTCTTTTTAAAGGTTTAATTGGAAGTAGAATCCGATGAAATGATTTTCTAAGTTCATGCCGAATATATTAACAATCCAGATTATTTTTTTGCTGAAAATTTTTTCCTCTAAACAAGTTGTTGTTTTAAGTTTAAATTTTGCTTTCAAAACATCAAAACAGTTTCGGATTTTTTTTTTTAAATCCCATCTTTTTTTATTCACAATTTTTCATCTTTTAAATTGAGTAGTTGTGCAGGTAAAAACAAAGACTTTAAAAATATTGTCTTACTCTTCAGTCTTAAGGTTCTTCACATATTTATAAAATATTATACTTTGATTTTTTTTTTACGAAACAAACTGAACAAATAGGCCTATTATGTTTGATGGTTTCATTTGACTAAATACCAAAAAACTTATTTCAGTTGACCAGGCATCCCCTGCAACATTGTTTTTTAATACGTTCTAATTATCTCTTGAAAACATTTTAAAGTAAATTTTGTTAAATCTTTTAGTGCGAAAGTACAACTTCATACTGAACAATAGCAAGGGAGATTTTTGCAAGATAGATTGTCACTTGCAGATATAATGGCCTCTCCCCAAAATGCAGTTGTGTCGATGTGAGTAAGTGAATTGGTTCGACATTCAAAATTTTAAAATTGTCACACATATAAATTTTCAACAAGTGAGCCATACCAGAACATTATTTATTTATAAATGCATTGCAAACACGTATAGCTTTTCATATTGTTTTTCTCTTAATTTTGGACAAAATATACTTTTAGATGAAGCGTAAACACAGCATGTACTTAATGTCCAGCTTGTCCCAATTGTGTATTTATTCATATTGTTTCACAGAAAAAAAATACTGTTTTATTTAAGAATGGACGGCCAACTGAACTGCTGTTTATAATTAATAGAACTGAATTCACAATTTAGTCTAGAAAAAACAATGTGTTGGGAAAAAATGCCGGTACAAACAATTTGTTTCAGACAGAATTTTCGTTCAGAATAGTAACTGCTGTGCCACAGATTTTTATCATTTATGCAAAATAATTTAAAACAGAGTAAACACTGTCATGTGTTTTGGGGTGTGTGATCGTGCATACGTTAATGGCTTTATATGTAATTTATTTCGGATCCTACAAAGAACATGTACGTTCAGTTGCATTCAACGTGTGAATTTGGATGCACACATCAAAATGAACGCAATTTATTGATTGTTTTCCTGAAGTCGGGGTTGAAATTAAAAAATACAAAAGGAGATGATACATTCGTTGCCAGTCTAACTGAAGGTCAAGCTTTCGCTGTCTGATGAGTGCAGCGCTTGTTTAATTTACAAAAAAAAAACCAACACTTCACATCATATTTGTCACAGACAAAAATGGTGTGTGGTTGTTGGCTTGTAGGATTAGAATTTTTTGTAGTTTGATGTATCACTGGAAGAATATAGTTGTGGTTTAGAAAATAACTCCAATACAATTAAAAAAAAAAAAATGTATTGTCATTTTACTTATTCATGCTTAGTAAGTACAACACATCACTTAAAAAAGCTTTTCGTAACAAGGTAAAAGTGTTTGCCCGCAGTACCACCGTTACTTGTTCTATGGTGCAACAGAGTAAAAGTTTGAAGTGGGGATGTCATACCAGCCAACATTGTCCTGATATAAACAAGTGAGGGCGCCATTCGTAGCAGGCAAAATTGGAAAAGGAGGTTTATGTATCTGGAACCGGCTTTGGTTGGTTCACTTTAGAATGTTAGGAAGCAGAAAATTAAAAATGTTGCGTAAAAAGTTTCCTGTGCTTAAAAGAAAAACGTAAAAATAACATAAATGATGCCGTTTTATGTACGAGTTGTCCTGAAGAACGGAACAGTACTTTTCTGAGTGGAATTCTGCTTTTGCACCAGACTGTTCAGGCCGGTTGTTGCCGCTGGTCTGACGAAAACAAATCTTACCTTTTGAGCACAAAAAGATATGAAATATCCACCAATTGGAACATTACTTCGAAGTTAGTTGTTATGAAAGTATCGCTATTAGTTAATGTAACCAGACAAAATGTTGTTTACTTAATCATCATTTTTAACTATTCTGTTTTGGCAAATTAAGTTTTTCTCCTTGTTGAACTTTAAGGTTATTTGGTTTAGACAAGTGGAAAAGACAGGAACGTGTGCAGAGTATTATGTTAAACCACTGTAATTCTAGTCAAGGTTACATGAAGGAAATTTCATGTAGCGAAAAAGGTTATCCCCATGAGAGTACACAATTGTAGTGAAACAGTTAAGTCTTTGTATTGATTAACCAGCACGTCATTGACAACATGCAACAGATGGGCTTGTGCATATCTAAGCTTTCTGATGTCATTTCCTGCAAATCATTTTCAGATAATTTTCTAAGTTTTATTGTGTTCTTTGGCCCCCTGTATATTTACAAAGGCAAGGCTGCATATTTGTAGCAAGGCAACAAGCAGTATTGGTGCACTCACATCACCAACACTCTCACAAGAGGCATTAAATGCTACCACAGTGTGAAACACAAAACCAGAGGCATGGTACAGTGTAATGTTGCATGCACACTTAAATGCTACCCAAAGATATACATGTACATGGCGGAGAAGATCATTGATTTCATTGTATATATGATAGCTTCCATGAACATGGCTGGCACGTATACATGTGTACCGCACCGCAGCGTGAAAGCAGGGGGAGAGATTTGCATAATAAATATAACTCTAGCCATCTGACCTGTGAACAATAATATTTCTTTTGACAGCCTGTGAGCTGGCTGTGTTGCTCTTGTTTACATTTGATTGGCTACATGGCTGGCGCAATCATGACTGATACCAGGCTGGCCTGTCTATCTGCCCATGCTGTTAAAATGTTCTTTGTGTGATCTGAATAGTCTGTAATAGCAGGGCTCATAGTGAACCAATAACTTGTGCGATTAGGCTGATTCATAGCCAGTAGGCCTTTGTGTTGTCCCAATCTTTGTCTTCATGTGCACATCATGCATGGTCTGATGTTATTACAGTACATGTACCACTATCCTATTTGGTTTTTCCCCTGCTCTGCATTTCTCAAATCAGTTCCTCGATGCCAAGTTTGATCTCAAAACCACTTTCCTTGTCTATTACCTATTGGTAGCCAAAGTCTTGTAGAGGATTTAAAGAATTCACGTCTTTTTTTCTCCATTGTAAAAGAGGCCCTGTACTTTGAATCTTGTGACTCCTTGTGTTTCCTTGTGTTGGTTTGTTAATAGTCAGAAAGAAATGCTTTTCATCAGTTCCCCCCGTCCCAAGAACTCCATGTGTGTGCTTATCATTGTGTCATGTATCTTGATTTGAATATAAAGTTTTGAGCTTCAATTTTTGTATTGTTCAGTCCACACTAGTTGTCTTGTCCACAAAGTGGTGTCTGTACCGGTAGTTACCTTCTAATAGACGATAGTCTAGGGGCTAGACGTTGTTATGGTTTGATACGTGATAAACCGCCGCCGCGAATACCCGCCGCCGCGAGATAGAGGGCGTTGTCACGATCAACCAGTATCACCCACGAACCTGTCAGGAACAACGTCTAGGGAAATTTGTATCGGTTGTGTAATGTGCACGCACCTGTTTGGCTTTACGCAGTACACATTCAAAATATTTCATTGTAG